AATTTAATTGCTCTGTAAATTTACCTTTGAGGAAAACCTCAGTAAGTACTTGCCTCTCCCAGCTGGAACTGACATTTAGAAGCTGAAATACCAGTTTCCAATGTTGCTAGAAGGAAAGAGTCCAGGGGGGATTAGGGGAGCAGGTGGTGCATGGAGTCTGGGGGCAACCCTGGCCCCACTCCCCCTTCCCCCGGGCTCTGGGCTGTGGGCCCTGTGGGCCCTGTGGGCCCTGGGCCCTGGACTGAACCAGAGAGCAACTAAGTAAACAATTACCATGAGGGCTCAGTATGGATCCAGGGATGACTCAGCCCCTCCCCGCCCTGGAGGTGCACCAGTCCTGGGGAGGTGGGCTTTGGATGAGGACATGGGTGGGGAAGGGTACTCTGGACAGATGGAATGGCGTAAGCAAAATATGGGAGGGGGAAAAGCTTCAGCAAAACAGGGAGAGGTTATCAAAACATCACATTGTACCCCATAACTGTATACAAGTATGATTTATCAATTAACAATAGCATTACTGTAATGAGCTGGGGGAGGTGGTGGAGATCAAGGCGTCCCACTTGGCTGTCAGATGGACCTGCATCTAAGAGATGGGTGTGACTCTGGAAGAGCAGGTTGGGGCAGATCCAGGAAGGCCCTGAAGGCCGCACTAAGGTTGGCCAAGGACAGCCACTGAAGGTCTGTGAGCAGGACAGAGGCAAGGTCATTCATTCATTCACAGATTTTTACTGAGCACCTACTATGCTCTGGGCACTGTTCCAGGTGCTTAACAAAGTCCTGCTGTCATGGAGCTTATGTTCTAACAACAGTGATTGTGGTTAATGCTTGTTCACTGTGCATCGTGCATTATTCTAAGCACTTTATGCATGGTACATCATGCATAACTTTGTGGGTAATTACTATTATTACCCACTTTTTGCAGATGGGGAAACTGAGATGCAGGGGTTGCCCTGGCCACTGAACTCCAAGAGATAGAGCAGGATTTGAACTCCGGCCCTCTGTACCAGATCCCTTGCTCTAAGCCACAAAACTTCTCTACTCATGTCCCCTTTTTCCCCCAGGACCCATAGGCTGGCCTCCAGGCTCCTCCAGGCGAGCCCACATTGGGCCTCCCTGGGCATGGGCCTGCTCAGTCTGGAACAGTGACCTATAGCAGGGGTGCACTGGGAGAGGTCACCATGTGAAAGGTGCAGACAAGAACAGTGGGAGGTCACGTGCCTCTGGGCTGGCCCAGCTGGGGACCTTGGAGGGAGCAGCCCCTCCTGTTACTGTCGCCCTGTGCAGCCCAGCGGACAGAACCAAAAGGTAGGCAGGGCTGGGGCATTCTCCTCCTTTAACAAGAGGGGTCCAGTACTGCCCAAGGCCCAGTGCCACCATTTCAAGGGGATCTGGCTCAGCCCCTGCCACCTGCCTGGGGATAGCAAGGCGGGGGAGGATCAGCATCTTCCACAGATGCCTGGGATGGGGGCTCTCCCAGCCCTGGGCTCCCTTCGTGGTCCTGGGACTCATTCACATGAGGGGAGAATTGGGTCTTTCAGGGTCTTGGTGGGATTGACATTTGAAGCAGGACAGGCCTGAGCAGGCAGGGCCTAGTAATCCCCCCAAAACACCACCTGTGATGACAGCAGAGCCTTTTGGACATAGATGATTTTGGCTGGTGGCCCTGGGACCACTATAGAGGGGCAAGTTGATTGATGGGATGAGAGTGTCCAGCCCAACCAACAGGACATGGGACACCAGGTGTTTTCAGGTGACCTGGGCTAGGAGGTAAAGGCACCAGAGGAGGGAATGCAGGACATCCTAGGAGTTAGTGCAGGAGGCCCAGAGCAGGGGATCAAGAGCCAGACTGCTAGAGTTCCAAACCCTTTCCTGCTGCTTCCCAGCTGTGTGACCATGGGCTTGTCACTTAACCTCTCTGTGCTTCAGTCATCTACTGTGTACAATGGGGTTCATAGTGGCATCCTTCTCAGGTGGTTTGAGACTCATAAGAGAATAATGCACAAAAGAGTTCGCACGGTGTCTGGTGCAGCCAACACGAGTTGCTGCCGCGGTTATGTCTGCTGAGCACCATAAGTGCCAGGTGCCCATAGTCTCCCCGTTTATTCTCTGGAGATGATGTAGGTAAGCCACCTGGTACACTACTAGGAACACAGTAAATATGGCTCCTCATAATGCTAATGCTAATAATGATTGTCATCACTTCAAGGTGGGTGTGGGTGCCCCATCTTGCAAATGAGGCTTAAGGTCTCACAGGGAGGCAGCCACTTAGGCAGGACAAGAACCATGCCTTGTGCCATGTGCAGGGCTGGGCAGGGCATTGACTGTGACTTCATGGCTGGCTGAGCCTCCCAGGTGGTGGGGGCGGGGGGGGGGCTTGTGGTAGAAGCGAGATCTGGGCAGAGGGGGTTATCAGTCAGTGTGGGCTAGGTGATTGCATAACAACCTCCGGATCTCAGTGGCTTGAAACAACAGAGGTGCATTTCTCGCTCCTGCTGTGTGCCAACGGCAGGGTGTCATGTGGGGGCTGTGTGTCTCCCTCACTCTGTGACTCAGGGTGACAGAGCAGACACCAACTCACAAGTTGCTGTAGCAGAGGCTCAAAGAGCTCTAGACCTGTGCTGTCCCATATGGCAGCCACTAGCCTTGTGTGGCTATTTAAATTTCAATAAATGAAAATTAAGAAAAAAAAAGTAGCTCCTTAGTCACATTACTCAGTCACATTAGCCACATGCTAAGGGTTCAATAGCGACAGGTGGCTAGTGGCTACCATACTGGACAGCACAGAGAGAGAGCACTTCCATCCTCATGGAAAATTCTACTGGAGAGAGCCTTGCACCAAAAATTCAATGCTCCAGTCCGGAACTAACATACATCCTTCTTTTTGAAATTCACGTGGGGGCCAGCAAGTTCAATTCTACTGTGTGCCCACAAGGTGAGGAGCACCAGAAGTATTTGGGGAACAGCATAATGACCACCCAAGCGTGGGTCCTGGATCAGTGTGGGTCAGAGGTGGAGGCGTAGGTGGACAGGTAGAGCAAGGACCATGTGACACCAGCTGAGGCAGGCAGGAGGCATCTTGGGGCAGGGGACTGGAGCTGGTATGTGTGCCCCGGGACATGCTTCCCAACCCTGGGCCTTGCCCCTGCCCAGAATAAATACCCTAAGGAATACGTGGCCCAAGGGCTACATGCCCGACAGAGGAGGGGGTAGGGAGACAGCAGGAGAGATTCAAGGAGAGACAGATAAATCTCCCCTTGGTCAGGACTCTGAAAAGGTGAGGGTTTTAGGAGTCTCCTGGGTAGATCATGGCAGAAGCAGATCAAGGTGTGCCATGAGGTTGGCATTGTTCTGTTTTGAGGCTGGGGCATGGCCGAGGTGACCTCTAAAGGACCCTGGTCCATTGGAGAATTGGCCCAGAAACTAGGCTCAGCCCTCCCCCCCCCCGCCTTTCCTGTTCGCTTCAGCTAAATAGATCAGAAGGAAAAAGTCTGTTTGATTTTAATCTCGACGCGGGACACTGGAGATTACATTTTCCACGGAAAATGTCAGCCGTTGCCTAAAATAGGACTTTGGAGAAAACGCTAGAAAGTGTATTTTTAGGTTATATGTTTCCCTCCTGGATTCCTGCAGTCCAATGGGCTACTTAATACTCCCCATGGTTCAGCTGCCAGGTGCAGACCCCAAACCTTCTAAAGAGGTGGTCTGGGAAGAGGGCTGCCACAGGGAAAAATGCTTGCAGACCAAAAACAGGTGGACAGATGCAAGGACCTGTGTCATGTGTCAGGAAGGAGGCAGAGGAAGAGAGCCAGTCAGGGTGTGGCTCCCAGTGATGCTGATGCTGCTGGCCCCAAGACTCCTTTGAGTAGCAAGGGACAAGAGGGGGCAGGGCTCAATTCGGCTGCAGCCTAGGAGGGACCTCAGCCTGGGTGGGGGGTGCCTATCAGATTCGCCCTCTAGGGCCCAGCTCCTGCCACCCCTCCACAGCACCACACAGACACACCTGCTGTGTGACCCTGCTCAAGCCACTTCTCCACTCTGGTCCTCAGTTCTCGCTGGCACCTGTGAAACAGGGCTGGAGCTCTGGCTGGCCCTGCCTCCGCTTTAGGCTGCTGAGATGATTCAGAGATTTCGGGTACCTGGAGTAGCCAGCTCCGCCTGGTACAAAAGATGCTTCAGGAAATGTAGGAGATAAAATATTGGCACAGAAAGTGAGGCAGGTGCTGTTGGCATTTGGAAACAATATTCTTCAAAATGTGTGGGACTGGGCCTGGGCATGTAGGGTGGGGCTGGGGGCGCTTCACTGAGCTTGCCTGGAGTGGATGGTCTGGGATGCTGGGTGCAGGGGGTCTTGTCCAGGGGAAGCCCCCAGATGAAGAGGGAGACTTAGAGGGCTGGTGCAGCTGCAGACCTTGTCTGGGTGGTCCCCAAGGAGCAGATGTGTCAGAGGCCGGATGAGCAAAGGGAACCCGAGCCAATGTTCTCAGCTGGAGGGAGGGACTACTTTGCCTTGGGGGTGGGAGACTCTGGACAGCCATTGAGGAGTGTTACCTTGGAGGTCCCTTCTCTTCTCCAGGCCCCAGTTTCCCTTCTGTGAAATGGGGGGAGGGGCTGGACTGGAGGGGCTGCCCAGAATCCTTCAAGGCCCCACTACATAACCCCATCATCTCTTGTCTCTTCTCTGGCTCCTGTGGCTGCCTGGATCCTGCAGAACTGCCAACTGAGGAAGGTGAGGCTTGGGCCAGAGTGGGGTAGGGGGCTGCCTGGCCACGGGACAACATCCTTGGGCCATTCACTGTCAGGTTATGACTTCCCCCTCCCCAAAGAGTGAGACCTTGTTGAGCCCCCAGCATCGCCCACCTGAGCCTCTCAGGCCCTTGGGCTATCTCTCTTTGAACTTCAGGGAGAGAATGGGCCAGGTGGTCTCCGAGGCTGTCCCAACTCTGAATCGGGAGGGTCAGTGGGTCAGGGGCCCTGACCTCACGTGGTGCTCCCGTTCCCAGGGAAGTCCCTGTGGGAGCTGGTGCTGGAGCAATTTGAGGACCTCCTGGTGCGCATCCTGCTGCTGGCTGCCCTGGTCTCCTTTGTAAGTAGGGTCCTGCCTGTCATCCCCCTGGGAGAGCCAGGCCTAGGCAGTGCTCAGAGGCCCAGGCTTGTCCTCTCAGCTGTGGGCATCCCTGGGCTGGCTCCCTGGACTTCCCTGGCCCTTACCCACTTCCTGCCATGCTCAGACTTCAATTTCTCTTGCCTGGACACTCACAGCCCCCACATTGGGCTCCTGGCTCCTGGCTCCTGTCTGACCCCCTCCAATCTATTTTATACCCAGGGCTTCTCAACCTCAGCACTATTGAGATTTTGGACTAGATAATTCTTTGTTGGGGTGGGGCGGGGGGCTGTCCTATGCATTGTAGAGTGTTTAGCAGCATCCCCGACCTCTACCCACCAGAAACCAGTAGCACCTCCTAGTTGTCACAATGGAAAATGTCTTCAGACATTGCCAAATGTCACCAGGGGGCCACTGCCTTATCCCCTTCTTTGGCTCCCTGTGCTCCTCAGACAGACTTTTGGACTTTAACCCCTTGCAGCCTCCTTTGGCTGCTGTTTCCCTGTGCTCTTGCCCCATTCCCGCTGCCTGGACCCCTCCTGGACCCAACCATGGGTCCAGGATGGAGAGGCGGTGACGGGGACTGTGGTTGTCTTCGATGGCTGAGCAGTGGAGGCCCAAGGGTAATGCAGGGCTGGGAGTGACCTCATGCCCGTTCCCAGCCCAGCAATGTGGGGCAGCAGGAGCACTGGGTGGGACTGGCTCTTCCCCTCCAGCCAGCAGGGGCCTGGCCAGTTAAATCTGGCCCTCCTGGCCACTGCCCTTTGGAAACTGGGGACTCTCACAAACAAAATCTGTCCATGTAGATGCCTAAAATGGTTGAACTGAAAGGGTGAACACTCTGAGGCCCATGGAGGGGAGAGACAGGGACCCCCTTGCACCAAGAGGTGGAGATGGGACTTGACCCGGGCTTCCGCCTCCCAGGATTACACTCTGTAGTGGAATGATGCTCCTCTGGCCAGTGGACCTTGACCCTGAGCTTACATCAGAATCACCTGGGCTTGTTAAAACACAGATTTCTGAGCCCCACCCAGAGTTTCTGACTCAGGAGGATTGAGGTGGGCCCCAAGAACTGTATTTCTAACAAGTCCCAGGTGCTGCTAGTGGTCTGGGGACAACACCTTGAGAAGCACTGCTCTAGGAAGACAATGAGGTCTCCGGCTGGCAGTTGTACAACTGCCCCACACCCTGGAAGGTTGGCTTGGGTGGGATGGGGGCTGCAGTGGTCACTGTCTGTGGGGCTGGGCATTCTACACCAGGGCCTTCTCAGAGGAGTAGCCCTCTCCAAGCCCAGGGCTCCCCAGGGGCATCTCCCCCAAAGAGGGGAGCAGACAGGAGATCCAGGGTGCTCAGGAAAAGGAGAGAGATCCTGGCCACAGCATGGATCACTCACCAGCTCTGATCCCGCAGGTGCTGGCCTGGTTCGAGGAGGGTGAGGAGACCACAACAGCCTTTGTGGAGCCCCTGGTCATCATGCTGATCCTCGTGGCCAATGCCATCGTGGGCGTATGGCAGGTGGGAGGCATGGGGGTGGGGCTGGGCCCTGGGGTCTCCCAGCTGCTAGGTGTGCCCTCTTGGTACAAGTGCTTCTGCTTCCAGCTCCATCCCAGCCTCCAAGGGTGTCACTCTGAGAGGTGGCCTGCTGGGGGCAGCAGGGACGGACTGCCTGCCTGTCTTGTGTTCCGCAGGAACGCAATGCCGAGAGTGCCATTGAGGCCTTGAAGGAGTACGAGCCTGAGATGGGCAAGGTGATCCGCTCAGACCGCAAGGGCGTGCAGAGGATCCGCGCCCGGGATATCATCCCTGGAGACATTGTGGAAGTGGCAGGTACGCTAGGAGCCTCCTCCTTTCATTATGTGACATTGGAGAGCCCCATCCCTCTCTGTGCCTCCACCGTTCTGGCTGTATATGCCAAGGGGGTGGCTGTCAGTTCCCTCCAAAGCTCTGTGGCCAAAACCCTGCGGGGTGACTGTGGACCAGAGGGGCACGGAACCACAAGCTCAAGCACCTGCTTGTCAGCCCCAGCCTTGGTTCCTAGGAGCCCTGCTGGCTGTCCTGGGGGGTGGTGCCCCAAACCATCCTCATGCAAGCCTTTCTGCCTCACAGTGGGAGACAAAGTGCCCGCTGACCTCCGCCTCATCGAAATCAAGTCTACCACGTTGAGAGTGGACCAGTCCATCCTGACAGGTGAAGACTGGAGTCCGTGGCCAAGAGGGGATGGGGCCAGGAGGCTGGGCATGTCCTCATGTGGGGCTTCTCATATCTGCTTCCATGACCAGGTGAATCCGTGTCCGTGACCAAGCACACGGATGCCATCCCAGACCCCAGAGCCGTGAACCAGGACAAGAAGAACATGCTGTTTTCTGTAAGTCCCTGGGATGCCTGGGGCATTTGCCTGGACAATGACAATAAAATTAACAACATTAAGATTAATCAGTTAGGCAGTTCATTTCTCCATCAGCTAGGAAGGATGTTGGTGCTGAGGGATGATAACTATGATGGCTTCTGGTGCTTTGGCGAAAGCTCAGATGTGTGGCCTTCTGACCAGGTGTCTGCGATTTCACATCATTGGAGCATTTGCTGTATCCCTGGGGTTGCAGCTCTCTAAGTTGCTGTGGCTGAACCAAGAAAGAAGGCATGTACAGATTTCTACAGAGGTTATGATTCCATGAAAGATTTTGAGGAGATGAGGAAGGCTGGTATCTTTCAGAGTGCAAAGTGATTTTAGAATGCAAGAATTTCAGGGCCAGCCTGTGGCCCACTTGGGTGAGTGTGGTACTGACAACACCAAGGCCCCGGGTTCGGATCCCTACATAGGGATGGCCGGTTAGCTCACTGGGAGAGCGTGGTGCTGACAACACCAAGTCAAGGGTTAAGATCCCCTTATCGGTCATCATTTATAAAAAAGAAAAAAAGAATGCAAGAATTTCTTCAGATTGAGTTTCATAGAAATTTATCACTGACCTGTGTTCCTGAACTATGAGACACAAACGTGTAGGCTAAGGGATAGTTTCTCTTGATAAATAAACAATTAACAGGTAAAAAAAAAAAAAGAGATTAATCAGTTAAAATCCTACAGGAAAGAACCTCAATCAATTATCGACAATAAGGGCCAGCCTGTGGCTCACTCAGGAGAGTGTGGTGCTGATGACACCAAGGCCACGGGTTCGGATCCCATATAGGGATGGCCGGTTAGCTCACTGGCTGAGTGTGGTGCTGACAACACCAAGTCAAGGGTTAAGATCCCCTTACTGCTCGTCTTTAAAAAAAAAAAAAAAAACACCTTTGAGATAAGTACCCTTGTTATCTATATTTTCCTGCAAGGAGACAAGCACAGAGTGGTTAAGTAAGTTGTCCAAGGTGACAGAGCCAGTGAGTGGCAGAGCTGAGATGTGAACTCAGAATCGTGGCTCTAGGGGCCGGCCCATGGCTCACTCGGGAGAGTGTGGTGCTGATAACACCAAGGCCACGGGTTCGGATGCCTATATAGGGATGGCCGGTTAGCTCACTTGGGAGAGGATGGTGCTGACAACACCAAGTCAAGGGTTGAGATCCCCTTACCAGTCATCTTTAAAAAAAAAAAAAGAATCCTGGCTCTAGAGCTTTTCTTCTTTCCTGCTAGGATACCCTGTCTTATCCTGCAGAGGGGCAGAAAATCCTCTAGAAGAAAGAGGGTTATGAAGGTGGGGGAGGATGGCGGGAACAGTTCATTTCTCAGATGGGAAAACTGACCTCTAAGACATGACATCAGGTCCCCCTGGCTCTTCTCAGGGAGAGCGATGGGTTCAGCTCTGGTGGGAGGGACCTGGCCCTGTGGCCTCAGAGAGAGAGTTAGCAAGTGGTACAGGCTGCCCAGCAACAGCCTGAAGCTGAGCACAGAGCATTTGGGAGCCACAAGGAAGAGCCAGGCCAGTCAGCCAGTGGCCCAGGCACCAAGTTATAGGGGCTAGAAAATCTCCTTGGAAGTGAAGAAAAATGCAGAAAGTGCTATTCACCCAGAACTCTTCTTGAGGAACGTGCCCTGCCTAGTTGCCTAGAAGCCTGGGACAAGCTGCTTTGGGGTTGAAGGGAGGCTCTAGGAGGCAAGCTCAAGTGCCAGCAGCTGTCACTAAGAAGCTTTCTGAGGAGTGTGATGTGGCCAACCACAGGTCATCTCCATAGCTGAGGCACCTGCACACAGGGGGCCAGATCTGCATTGCTCAGGGCAGGAGAAGAGAGACGGGGGCTGCCACCCACCCTTGTCAGCCTCCACAGCACATCCATGTGAAGGGATGCTGGGTTATTTGCCTCCTTGGAGCAACTGTGTCTTGGGCCTCTGTTGGGCCATTTTACAGAAGAGGACAAGGAGGCACAAGGCTGGCTGTTCCTTACACCAGGACTTGGGCATTTTGCCAGGGCCTTAGGAATGGATGAGCTTAGGCTCAGGTTTTCTGGATTCTTCAGTAAAAATAAACTGCTGGTATCACGGTCAGCTGTGCTGCTGTGTGGCCGTAGTGGTTGTTTACAAATCATGTTTTGATGGGTTGGTGTCCTTGCGGTGCAGTGATCGTATTGTCGGTATCGGCCCCCCTGCCTTTTCTGTACCAGACCCTATGCTAGGCCTTGGGGATATGGCGATGAACCAAAACCCCGCCTTCATAGAGCTGCCACTATCATGGGAAGACAGCAGTGACCCAATAAATACATAGCTACGTAAGTCAGGAAGCAGTAGCGACATGAAGAAAAAGAAAGCCAGGTGGGATTAGAGCCCTTCTCTGGCCCGAAGGAGTCAGGGGTGCTGGGCCCTGGATGGGTGCTGAGCAGCTGTTCCCTCATCCCTCCCTTGGCCAGGGCACCAATATCGCATCGGGCAAGGCAGTGGGCGTGGTAGTGGCTACTGGCCTGCACACAGAGCTGGGCAAGATCCGGAGCCAGATGGCTGCAGTGGAACCTGAGCGGACGCCGCTGCAGCGCAAGCTGGACGAGTTTGGGCGGCAGCTGTCCCATGCCATCTCTGTGGTTTGTGTGGCCGTCTGGGTCATCAACATTGGCCACTTTGCTGACCCGGCCCATGGCGGCTCCTGGCTCCGCGGTGCGGTCTACTACTTCAAGATTGCTGTGGCCCTGGCTGTGGCTGCCATCCCCGAGGGCCTCCCAGCTGTCATCACTACATGCCTGGCACTGGGCACACGGCGCATGGCACGCAAGAACGCCATTGTGCGGAGCCTGCCCTCTGTGGAGACCCTGGGCTGCACCTCGGTCATCTGTTCGGATAAGACGGGCACACTCACCACCAATCAGATGTCTGTCTGCCGGGTGAGTGGTCACAGCCAGCTTGGGGTCCCACTGGTGTTGCTGTGTGATGCTAGACAGGCTGGGTTCCCTCTCTGGTTCACTCCCTGACCTTTTTGGCAAGGGATGGTGGAGAGAACCTGGGGGCTGTCCCATGGTGGGGAGCATTTCCAGGTTTCCATGGGGCAGAGCAGATAACTGGCAGGCTGTTGTAGACAACATCTGGCTAGACACATGTCACTGGGGCCTGTGTGTCATTGTGGGGTCCCGGGCAGGTCACTGCCAGTCTGTGGACCTCAGTCTCCTCATCTGAAGTCTGGGTAGGCAAGCCCTACCAGGTAACCATAAAGGACACAGGAGAGGGTCAAGTACAGCTGGGCCTGAACCCACATTCTATCCTGCTCCATCATGACTCTGTGCAGTAGACACCTGTCACCAGATATGCTGTCTCCAGTGACCTGGGAAGGACCAGGGTAGGAATTATTAATTCCCTGGCACTCTATACTACATTCTGGGCCCACTGCCCACATGCTCCAGGATTCTGGCTGAGACTCCAGCAAGCCCATGGGATAGAGGGATCCTCCTGACCCAGAAGAGGGATGGATGGGGAGATGGTGAAGGCTGTGGGTTTCCCACCCTCCCAGGTTCCACATTGCTCCTCTCCCACCCTGGGTCCCACACTCTGCCCATTGGGCCTCAGAAACCCAGGCTCTTTATTCTGAGACCTTAAGGCCACATAGAAGCCCATCAGAGGCTCCTGTAGGGGAGGAGGCACCAGCAATCTTTACTGCCCTGCAGCCCCTGGCCTGCTAAAATCCCTAATAGGATTTTATCTGAAAAGAATGTTCCTTGACCAAAATAAAGGTTTAAAAACACAGGGAAGTTGTAGAGGCCTTACCTGTTGAATAATGGGCTGTACTTGCTGGAGGACTGCCCCCAGGAGCAGGGAGAGAGGGAAGAAAGGAACATTTACTGAGCACCTACTGGGTGCTGGGCAGGCCATTTGTTTGGGAACGTGCAGCAAAGCAGTTTCTGGGAAGCAAGAACTGTCTTCCTAGCAGAGCTGGCTCACAGACAAGGAAATGGGCTGCCCCGGAAGGGGTGGGTCCCCTGTCCCTGAGATGCACAGGTATGGGCTGGGTGACATGGAAGGCCCTGCAGGCAGGGGCTCACTCTCTAGAGACACCTCTGAGCTGGAGGGGTCTGTGCCTCAGAGCAGGGGTGGGTTTTCTCCCTTGAAGGCCAGGAACTTATCCCCTTAAGGGAAAGGAGGAGAAGCTAGACTCTGATCCCACTTTCTCCCCCTGTTACCAGTGGAGAAACTGAGGCTCAGGTGCTTGGCTAGGAGTCACACAGTGGGGTGGGCAAGGACCCAGGCTTACTGCTCTGCTCAAGGCTGGCAGCTGCCACTAGAGCCTTGAAGAATCTGCCATAAACTCCTTAGGAGTCCGAGCAAATGGACAAGCCAGAGCTGGGCACACCTGGGCACAGCAGAGTCCCCACCTCAGCCCAGTGGGGAGGGGACGCCAGGCCGGTAGCTCTTGGGGGAGAGGGGACTAGCAAGATGCTGCCCTGGGTCAGGCTTTATTCAAACTGGCTGCCCAGGAAGGGGGAAGGCGACCCGGCCCGCCTGAGCAGACCCCTGCGCTCCCCAGATGTTCGTGGTAGCCGAGGCCGAAGCGAACTCCTGCCGTCTGCACGAGTTCACCATCTCGGGTACCACGTATACCCCCGAAGGCGAAGTGTGAGTGTGCGGGCGCAAGGGCTGGTGGGTGGGGCTTCCTGGTGGGCGGGGCACGCGGGATAGGGAAGAGGTGGCGGTCTGCAAGGCCTCCTGGGGGCGGGGTCAAGGAGCTGGGCCCCACCCAGGGGCGGGACCAAGGTCCTTGGACTGACTGCCCGGGCTCCCCAGCCGGCAGGGGGAGCATCTGGTACGCTGCGGGCAGTTCGACGGGCTGGTGGAGCTGGCGACCATCTGCGCCCTGTGCAATGACTCGGCGCTCGACTACAACGAGGTGGGCCCCACTCCCTTCCTTGATCTCGCTCGTATCCAGGCTCTCAGGACAGACTCTTCCCAGAGCTTAAAAGCTCCCAAGGTTGGCGGTTCTTGCCCCTCAGGAGTGCCACACCCCAGGAGCACGGCCGCCCCTGCACACACCCCTACCCCACCCCCCGCCGCTCTGCCCTCTTCTTCAGACTGGATTTGAAACCCTGCCCCTGGGGCTCTTGGACTGTGGGGACTGCAGTGTAAAGGGTGGAAAGGCCAGGGAGGCCTGGGGAAAGATATTTGAGGGGCAGGACAAGGGAGGATGTTTAAAGCAAAAGGCACAGCCCAGAAAAGGCCCACAGTCTGTAAAAACCTGCTGTGATTTAGGCATTGAGTGCCACTCGTGGCCGCAGCAGGGGAATGGAGCAGGCGGGAGAATGCTCCTGCCCGTGGGGAAGTTCTCAGCCAGACTGAATCCGCTCCAATGCTGAGCTGGGGGCAGTAGAGAGCCACCGAAGGGTTTTGAGCGGGGGAATGCTATGTTCAGATTTGCACTTAACGAAGATCACCCGGGTTTCTGTGTAGAGGATGGAAAGACCAGACAAGGCTGTCAGGGAGCCCTGTTTGGTTGTCCAAGCCAGAGAGATGCTGACTGAGCCCTGGCTGGGGCCTCGGAGAGAGGAGAGAAGGCCTGGGTCAGAGAGAGATTTAGGAGCTGAAAATCCTGGGACTTGGTAACTGGTTAGGTGAAAAAGAGAGGGAGGGGATCAGGGTGGTTCTTGGTTGCTGTCCTGGCTGGTGCTGTCACTGGAGTGGCAAACATAGGGAGAGGAGGAGGTGGCCCAAGGGGTCCCCAGGGAGCAAGGTCCAGCAGGCAGCAATCGGATATGCAGGCTGGAGCTCAGGGGAGAGGTCCCAGCTGGGCTGGGCACTGGCAATCATGAGCATGTGAAAGGTGGTGGCGGCAGGAGGCCCATGTGGCCTCAGGGGGAGCAGGTGGAAGGGAAGGAACAGACCTGGACAGCAGGGTTAAGGCCCAGAAAGAACAACCTGGGGAAGGAGGCTGAGAAGGAGTGGACAGAGAGAGAGGTGCAGGGCAGGGATGGTGTGTGGGCACTGAGGCCAGGGTGTGGGGGAGAGACGAACGTCAGTGTCAGACACCACTGACCCCAGGTCAGTGGGCTGGGAATGGCTCACAGGCCTGTGCAAAGGAGGTTACATGGAACTTTGGCAAAGGGAGCTCCAAGGGGCAAGGAGTGAGTGGGAAGTGAGGTTGGGGAGCCCAGCTGCGGGCCACCTGCCCCTCACTCCCTGTCCTCTGTGTCCCGCCAGGCCAAGGGCGTGTATGAGAAGGTGGGAGAGGCCACAGAGACGGCTCTGACTTGCCTGGTGGAGAAAATGAATGTGTTTGACACTGACCTGCAGGCCCTGTCCCGGGTGGAGCGAGCTGGCGCCTGCAATGCGGTGAGCAGGGTGGGGACTCAGGCCACGGGCTACGTAACTGGGGCTTCTGGGGCATCTGGAGATGGCAGAAAGGAGTGCAAAGTCTAGGGAGGCTTCCGGGAGGAGGAAGGACCCCAAACCCCTAGTAAGACTTGGCTGGGGAGCAAAGAGAGGAAAAGGCTGAGTGTGGGCAAGGGCTTGGAGTTGGGAAGTGCATGGCATCTTCAGGAAATGGCAACTTTTTGACACTTCTGAGGCTGGAGAGGGAGATGGAGAACTTGAATGCCATGGTCAGAGGAGTGTGTAGGCACCATCCTAGGGCAGGAGGCTCTTCTTAGGGTAAGCAGCTGGTGAGAAAGCAGGCAAACGTTGCTGGCTCTGTCCCTCAAGCCCTGACCTGCCTGGACCCCACAGGTCGTCAAGCAGCTGATGAGGAAGGAGTTCACCCTTGAGTTTTCCCGAGACCGGAAGTCCATGTCAGTGTACTGCACACCCACGCGTCCTGACCCCAGGGCCCGGGGCAGCAAGATGTTTGTGAAGGTGGGGGCCTAACTGTCTGGCCTGGGGCCCCTGCACACCCAGAGTCTCAGGGGAACCTGGTCTCCAGTCCTCTGAAGCACCAGAGTCTGTGGCTGCAGGAGACTAAGGGAGGTGTAAGGCCCATTGTCAAGGTGATAAGTCCAGAATGAGGGTGGTCAGCCTGCCAGAGAGAACTGGGAGCAGGATCCAGGCTTGGTGGAGATAAGCCAGGGCCAGGGGACCGAGGCCTGCCCCTGGCCATGCTCCCAGCTCTGGGCTCAGGGTCACTGCCTCACCACATGACGGGGTCATCCATGCTTTTCTGTGGGCCTCAGTCTCCCCAGGTGAAAGACAAGGTTGGACTGGAAATCCTCAGAAGCCCTTTTTGCCTCTGGCTGGTGGTGTTGAGGTGGTTCGTGTTTTGAAGTCACAGGGAGGGAAAAGAACCAGCTCCCATATAGAACTCTTTCTGCAGCACCTCCTGGCAGCACCTCCTGTCACTGCTTTCCAACCTCAAGTACTTCATCTCACAATGGAGGTTTTAACCCCTTTTGAAATGAAAAGGCCCCCATATGGGGAGCTCAGACACTTTGAAAAATTGTCTCCGGGCTGACGTTTTAGGAGAGAAAGAAGCCTTTGAAGCAGCGTTCAGAGGCTTTTCCTAGGCCTGGGGTGAGGTCTGAGGTGAGACCCTATACTGCTGAGGAGCCTGTCACCGCCAAGGCCACCTTCCCATAGTCACACCCACCACACCTTCTGCATTGCTTTATTTCTGGTCCCCAGGCAGGGCTCAGCCTGCCTCCCTGCTGCTGAGACCCCTGCAGAACTAGAATCCCATTAGCACCAGGCAGGCAGGGGTGCAGGGCCTGCAGGGCATGCCGTTCTGTTCTACCCCCCACCCCAATGCTGCAGCAGGCCTCCTCAGCTGTGGGCTGGTGGAGGAAGGATACCACCTGCTGGGTGTCGGGTGTCTGTGACCTCCCCCCACCCCCTGTTCCCTTTAAGTTTTCTCACAGTGGGGCCCACTTGGTTCCCACTCAGCTTTCAAAGAATGGATTCTGGTCCATGCCTTGTGTGTACCCTTGGGGGGCCTTTCCCCCTCTCTGGGTCTCAATTTCCTCACTTGGGCAGGAGGGAGGGAGGGGTCCTGACTGATGGAGTTGCCTGCCCTCCCCCTCCTGCCACTCTGCAGGGGGCTCCTGAGAGTGTGATTGAGCGCTGCAGCTCAGTCCGCGTGGGGAGCCGCACCGTACCCCTGAGCACCACCTCCAAGGAGCAGATCCTGGCCAAGATCCGGGATTGGGGCTCAGGCTTAGAAACGCTGCGCTGCCTGGCCCTAGCCACCCGGGATACACCTCCGAGGAAGGAGGACATGCGATTGGACGACTGCAGCAAGTTTGTGCAGTACGAGGTGGGTGCTGGGAGCTGCATGTCTCCCTGCAGTGGCTGGGCAGGTAACAGGTCAAGGATGGGCTCAGGCCTCACTTGCATCTGCCCCCTCCCTAGATGGACCTGACCTTCGTGGGCTGCGTGGGCATGCTGGACCCTCCGCGGCCCGAGGTGGCTGCCTGCATTGCACGCTGCCACCGGGCGGGCATCCGTGTGGTCATGATCACAGGGGACAACAAAGGCACAGCAGTGGCCATCTGCCGCCGGCTTGGCATCTTTGGGGACATGGAGGATGTGGTGGGCAAGGCCTACACAGGCCGCGAATTCGACGACCTCAGCCCGGAGCTGCAGCGCCAAGCCTGCCGCACTGCCCGCTGCTTTGCCCGTGTGGAGCCCGCACACAAGTCCTGCATCGTGGAGAATCTGCAGTCCTTTAATGAGGTCACCGCCATGGTGAGGCCACAAGGCTTGGGAAGAGAAACTTGGGCAACCCCCTCCTCTGCCTTATTCTTATCTTTTCCAAAATTTTGTTACAAAAAATTTCAAACACAAAGAGAAATTGAATTTATAGTGAATGCCTATATATCCACCATCTAGAATCTATAATTAACATTTTATTATATTTGCTTTATCATTTACCTCTCCATCTGTCCATTCTGTATGCATCCTTTTTTTTTTTTTTTTCCTTTTTGTCTTTTTTCGTGACCGGCCTCGGGATTGCAACCCTCGGTGTTGCTCCCGCCCCTCGCTCAGCCAGTGAGCGGCCGGTCTGTATGTGGGATCCGAACCCTCGGCGGGAGCGCCGCCACGCTTCCCAAGTGGCGCACTGTAGCAGTGCACCACCCGGCCGGCCCTGTATGCATCCTTAATCCATCTTTTCTTAAATGTATTTCAAAGTAAGTTGTAGACATGAGTACACTTCATTCTCACATACTTTAGAATGCATATCATTAACTAGAGAGCAATATTTGTTGTGGTTCTGTTTTTCCTTTTCGAGGTAAGATTTGCATGCAGTGAAATGCACACATCTTTTTTTTTTTTTTTTTAAAAGGATGACCGGTAAGGGGATCTCAACCCTTGGCCTGGTGTTGTCAGCACCACGCTCAGCCAGTGAGCAAACCAGCCATCCCTATATAGGATCCGAACCCGTGGCCTTGGTGTTATCAGCACCGCACTCTACCGAGTGAGCCACGGGCCGGCCCAAATGCACACATCTTAAGTGTACTATGTGATGAGTTAGACACATGCACACACCTGCGTAGCTCACACCCTCATCAGGATGTGAAACATCACCATCAGCCCATGACCTGCCCTCACACTCCCTCCCCATGGTCCCCTGTCCCACAACAGGCAACCACTGTTCTCATTTTTCCACCGTAGATTAGTTTTGCCTGTCTTAGATTTTCATGTGAATGGAGTCGCATGGTGTGCGCTCCTTTGCGTCTGGCTTCTTCCTTTGAGATTCGTTGCGGCTATCAGTAGAATGTTGCTTTTCTGTTATCAAGTAGTGTTACGTGGTGTGAATATAGTTTACTTATCCATTCACCTTTGGATGGACATTGGTTTGAGCCCAGTTTTTGTCCAGTGTCATTTTCGACTGCTGACCTGTTCTTCAACAATTATCTGGTTCTTGACTTTAATTTCATACTGACCTGGCCTCGATTATTAATCGTGACTTCCAGCCTAACCCCGTCTTTTACCTTGACCTTAATCCTGACCTGTGTCCCAGCCTTGACCTGGATACTGACCTGAACACCAACCTTGATTTGACTTCATCTATAACCTGGTTCTTGTCCTTATGTTTGACCTCTATGATGACTTTGTCCTTGACCTTGACCTCCATCTTAATCTGATTCTTTATTTTGGGCTCAGCCCTGATATGGGTTATAGTCTTGGCCTGGACGCAGACCTGATCCCTGACATTTACCTTGACTACTTCTCTCCTCACCCCCAACCCCTGCAATACTTTACTTTGATCTGGCCTTCAATCGTGACCTTGACTGCAACTCCTGCATTGACCATGATGTTATTCCTAATGTGGACCATAACTTTGACTTGGCCTCTGACTCTGACTTGATATCCACCTTAATCTATTTTTTTTATCTTGAGGCTGAGTCTAGACTTGATCCTGCCTTCACCTTGGCTCCAACCTTCACCTGACTGCAATACCTACCTGGCCCTTGACCTGGGTCACAACCTTGACCTCATCCCTGACTTGACCTCAGCTTTTCCCCTAACCTCAGTTTCATTTTCTACTCCCTATACAACCTGAATTTCATCCCCACCTCATCATTTTTTCTGACCTCAGACTCTACCTTCTCCCTAGCTTTGTCCTTGTCTACGCCCCATGCCTTCCCCTTAGCCTCATCCTTGGCGGCTGGCTGGTATGGGGATCCAAACCTTGACCTTGGTGTTATCAACACTGTGCTCTAACCAACTGAGCTAACCGGCCAGTCCTCTAAGTTCATTCTTGAATCCACCATTTGTTCTGTCCAGCTGTCTACTTCCTTGGGAACATCCCCTAAGACTGGAGATGTGTTGAGCTGAGGGATGATGGGGAGGTGGAGGGAAAGTTTCTCAGGTGTGATCCTACCTGACATGGCCCACAGACTGGTGATGGGGTGAACGATGCACCAGCCCTGAAGAAAGCAGAGATCGGCATCGCCATGGGCTCAGGCACAGCCGTGGCCAAGTCGGCGGCAGAGATGGTGCTGTCAGACGACAACTTTGCCTCCATCGTGGCTGCAGTGGAGGAGGGCCGGGCCATCTACAGCAACATGAAGCAATTCATCCGCTACCTCATCTCCTCCAACGTCGGCGAGGTTGTCTGGTGAGGCCCTGCAGCCCCTCCCCACAGCCCTCTGGACCAGTTCTGTGTCCCTGAGATGGGGAAAATGATTGTTCCTGGGATGGGGCTGCAGGGATGGAGGGACATGTGCCCTACCCTGGCCAGGGCCTTCCATTGTCCCACCTCAGAGTGGGCAGGGACAGGGACACCTTGTCATTTTCCAGAGGCTTTGGTGACCCAGCCCTCAAGGAGGTGCCCAAAGAGTTCAATCATCCCTGCAGCCACAGCCTTCTTTCCACTTTCAGACTCACAAGACAAGAGAAACTAACCCAACCTTTGGGCAGTGATGTGTTCGTGTGTGTTTATGTGTTAAGATGTGTCAGTGTGCACATGGCATGTGTGCCTGTGAGAGGTGTGTGACGTGTTTGTGTGTGCGTGTTTGCCCTTGTGCGTCTTTGGGCACGAGTACAAACAGAAGGATTTGTGTTGGTGTATAATCGTATACACACTTAAGTTCACATGTGAGAGATGCCTGTGGGGAATGGTGAGCACGTGTTTGCTGGACATGTGTGAATTCTGCATCTTTGCACATCAGGGCAAGCATGTAGGTGTTTGCTTGTGTTTGTGGATTTGTGGCACGTACTAGGTTTTTGCATGTGTCTGATGCTTGGGCATGCCTGGTTGTGTGTGTGTGTGTGTGTGTGTGGCTGTGAGTATATAGTTGCCATTTGCTAGGCCTAAAAAGCAGACATATCCAGGGTCCAGAGCAGGGATTGAGGGAGTCAGGATTGGCCAGGTGTGAGGCAGAACCATGTGCACACATCCCTCACTCGTAAACACACATCAGGACTAGCAGAAAGAGAGGGAGCTGCCAGGGAGACAGTGGGTGAGCTCCTGGCCTGGGGTGTGAGCAGGAGCTGGACCCTCCCTCTGGTGTGTGCTGGGCCTGCTGGGGGCTAGAGCCCATGACTCTGGTTCTAGCATCTTCCTCACGGCAATTCTGGGCCTGCCCGAAGCCCTGATCCCCGTGCAGCTGCTCTGGGTGAACCTGGTGACGGATGGCCTACCTGCCACAGCCCTGGGCTTCAACCCACCAGACCTGGACATCATGGAGAAGCTGCCCCGGAACCCTCGTGAGGCTCTCATCAGTGGCTGGCTCTTCTTCCGATATCTGGCTATTGGAGGTCAGCAGGTCCCCAGCCCCCAGTGAGCTTCCTGAGCTTCCTGAGAGCCTTGTATCAGTTAGGCTTGCAAACTGCAGACAGTATGACTCAGCTGGCTTATGCCAAAGGAAAATGTGGGCTCCTGTTACTGAAAAGACTAGAGCATACTTCAGGCATGGCTGGATCCAGGCCGCATACAGTATCACTGGCATATTTTGCCTCCGCCTCAGCTCCATTCTCAGGCAGGTGCACTACAGGGTGGTCGAATGGTTGCTCCAGCTCCAGCCCTCATGCTCCCTCCACTATAACCCCAAATTCAGCAGAAGAGAGAGCCTTTTATCTTGCTATTCCCTCAGTAGTATGCTAAAAGTCTCAGGCCTGTTCTCATTGGCCCAGATTGGGTTACCCCCTTATCTCCCAGCTAATCACTGTGGCCAAAGGTGTGGCAGATGCTGATTACCAATCAGGGCCCTCCACTAGCATTGAGGATAGGTGCCTGCAGATCGCATGGCTTAGAGAGGCGAGGGTGGTTCCCTGATGGAGACTCAGGACATTGTTAGGAGGGGGAAATGGATCCCAGAAACCCACAGCTGCGTGCTACAGCCAGTCTCCTCCTCCCGTCTCTGCAGTGTACGTAGGGCTGGCCACAGTGGCTGCCGCCACCTGGTGGTTCCTGTATGATGCTGAGGGACCTCAAGTCACCTTCTACCAGCTGGTGAGCAAGTGATGGCCGGGGGGCCTGTTGGGGTTAGACCCAAGGTAGAACTTACAGCTCGAGTTGTCGGAGTTCCAGGGGAGGGGTGCTGGACCCCGTCGTTGGCCCACAGCTGTCCTCCCCACCCCCATACATACATATAAACATCCACCACGTAAGGAGCCAAACTCAGAGGCCTCTGGAAACCTAGAGACACCAGCACAGCCCCTCAAGCCAGAGAAGAGGCTCCTCCCTCTCCCAATCAGTTAATTAAGGGGGGCCAAGGGGTATAACTGCCTAGAAGTGTCTTTATCAGGGAGCCCCCAAAACATTGAGGGCCCAGAGGAAGGAGCCCCCAAATGATGGAACTTCAGGCAGAGGGTCAAACTAAGGAGATCAAGAGGAGTCTGTCAGGCTCTTCCCACCACAACCAGTAGATATTTCTCAGGGACGGGACCCACTGACCTCTTGAAGTCACCTGGCTGGCAGGTGCCCACTGCGGGCACCTAGGCTCAGCACAGCTCTGGAAGCAAATGAGACAGACCTCTCAGCTGCCATCTGTCTGTCTGTACAGACAACTCATCTCTTTTGCTTGAAAGATGCTTCATGGTTTTTCTCTTTTTTTAAAAAAAAAAAGATGACTGGTAAGGGGATCTTAACCCTTGGCTTGGTGTTGTCAGCACCACACTCTCCCAAGTGAGCTAACCGGCCATCCCTATATAGGGATCTGAACCTGTGGCCATGGTGTTATCAGCACCACACTCTCCCGAGTGAGCCACAGGCCGGCCCGTGGTTTCTCTTTTAAAGCGGAGAGCTGCAGGGAGGCAGGATTTTCTTCCTCTGGGTGGACTTCTTTACCTGAGCAGGAGGCAGCTGAGGGGCCACTTTCCTGGCACCCACCAGCCTCAAGCATGTGGGGCGGTGTCTTCTGGGCACAGTGCAGAGCATGGGCACAGGCCCTTGTCCCAAAGGCTGGCCCCTCCCTGACCCAGCCCTCTGTGAAGTGCAGGCCAGCCTCGGGCACCTCCGCTCATTCACTCCTGGGGGAGCAACAGGGTGGAGGGTGAGCAACGTGCTGTCTTCTTCCAGCCCTGTCTCTCCCCCCATCCTTTACATCAAGTATCCCAAATCTCCCAGGACCACCCCCCCATCTGAGCCCCAGCACTATAAATACAGCTAGATACCTCTGCGATGTCTCACAGGCCCATTGCAAACCAAATGCCCCAAACCAAGTCTATCACCAGTTCTTTTCCCTCCCTGGTCACTCAAGCTGGACACTAGGAGTCATGGTAGATCCCATCCCCCGCCATGCACCCCACTGCCCAAAACACACACCACCAGTCAGTCCCTAGTGCTGTTGGTGCTACCTTCTCAACGGCCATTCCATTTCTCACTTACCCGCTTGGTCAAGAAATGACTATTACTAGGGCTATAGCACTGGTCAAAGTCTCTGCAAAGAGTTTCCAGTCTGGTGGGGAGAGAGCCATGGAAACCGGCAGTCACAATTCAGGTTGGGAAGTGCTTCAGTGAAGTAAGGACAGGTGGTGAGTCCGAGGTGGTCAAAGTTAGACCTGATGTAGAACTTCCAGCTTGAGTTATTGTTGGAATTTCAGGAGAGGGGTCCAGAGCCTCGTGATTCCAGGAGGAAGCTGCCAAGAGGCAGCAGAGTGGTTAAGAGTAGAGGGAAGGGAGCCTGGGTCCAGGCTGCCCAGGTTCACACCCTAGTACCACCACATGCCAGCTGTGTGACTTTGAACAGGCTACGTAACTTCCATGTGCCTTGGTTTCCTCATCTGTAAAGTGGATAATAGTCCCTGTCTCATAGGACTATGGAGAGGATTAACTGAGTTAATACTTGTAAAGGGCTTAGAACAACAGCTGGGGCATAGTAAGAGCTATATGTTAATAGTGTTACTTAAGTTAGTGAGACCCAAAGGGGGCCTTGCAGGATAAGGTGAGTAGGAGACAGCCAGGCAGGCCAAGGGAAGCACTAGGCAGAGCAGTGACTTCACCAGTAGAAATGGCTCCACAGGGTTTCCTGATGCACCTATGAGAAGGAAGTTACAGCCCTGAGCACCTTCTAATAAATGATTCAGGAGTCCACACTGTGAACCCTGACCTGGGGCATAGTGTGTGTGGCAGGGGCTCACTGGTGACACCCGGAAGGTCTGTGCTGGGCAGGGTGTTTATGGCAAGAGCAATGGACCTTTTAGAACACCTTGGTACGATCCTGTTGGTATATTCTTCCTGTGCACGTGCAGAAGGATGTGAGCATGCATATGCCCGAGTGGGAGGCGTGTGTACCTACGTTTGTGTTTACGTGTGTGCATAAGCCATTAAGATCAGGGGGGTGAGGCCTGACAGCAGTGGCATGACCGATAGGAGGATTTAGTCTCTTGGTCACTGGGTGGGTAGAGCCAGCTCAAAGTTAAGGACGTTTTCTCTACTCTGTGACCAGCACCAAATAAAAACATGCGCATTTGCCCCAAATCCTGGTGCTTGGTGTTTGGAGAAAAATCCCAGTGTTGATTTAAAAGAGAGAAGATTCTCCATCTCTTTGTTACAATAAGAAATCTAGCCAAGCCATAGTCTTATTTTTCTTCCTGCATGAGAAAGAAGAGCTGCCTTATCCACATTTATTCAGTGTGGGCAAACAGGGATGTACTTATCGGACTGCAGATCAGACAGCTGGTCACTGTACAGATTGCTCTTTGAGGATTACTTTCACAGCACGTGGCTGCAATTTCTAAATCCTTAGCTTAAAAGATCTCTGTGTTCAGATTAGACTCCCAAGAACAGATTTCTATTATTTAAGAACTGAGCTGGTTAGTGGTTATGAACATTCACACTCGTCCCTGTGACGTGTAGAACAAGACAAATTCTCCCAAATGTCCTCAGCCAGACTCTCATCACAGCAGATTCTGTGATCAAGGTTTATGAGCAGAAAGAAAACTCTCCGGGGGCTGTAGTAGTGAGGGCCACTTCCTTCTTTGCATCCTGACAGCTTCTTGCTAATTTCTAGCAATTCAATAGTCTGCATCATAAGCAAAAAGCAGATCTGAGGGCCGGCCCAGTGGCGCACTGGAGAGTGCGCCACTTGGGAGCACGGCGGCGCTCCCGCTGAGGGTTCGGATCCCATGTGGAGACCGGTTCCCGCTCACTGGCTGAGCGAGGTGCGGGCGCAACACCGAGGGTTGCGATCCCGTTGCTGGTCCCCGGTACGGGCACGACACCGAGGGTTGCGATCCCATTACCGGTCAGTAAAAAAGACAAAAAGGAAAAAAAAAAAAAAAGCAGATCTGAGAGAGTTCGATTTCAGTGGCAGAGCTGGAGTGAGGTGTGAATGTTACTTAATAATAGTGAACAGTGCACATGCAGCCTTTATCTTCTGTCCCACAAGGGTGAATTCCATTCAAGCATGATTTTCATGGTTGGCTTTCTCTTGCATTCACTTATTCAGTGGTCTCAGTCAGTCAGCACCCCTGCTCCTGCACCTGGGGGCCTAGGACCCCCTGCCATCCTCCGCAGCCCAACACCAGCTGTTCTCCCCGGCCCACCACCCCCAGCCCAGGACAGCCCTCCCTCTCACTCTGTGCACACACTTCTCCCTCACACGGTGTGGCCCCGTGGGCCCATCCTGGGTGAGCACCCCTCCTGGGCTCCCTGGGCCCCCCCATGCAGTGTTTGGCCACTGATTGTGCTCAGGTGTCGGCTGAGGGCAGAGCGAGGCTTCCCTCCTCCTGCTCACCGGCCCCTCGGCTGACCGGCTGCTCTCCCTGACCCACCATGGTGCCCTCAGAGGAACTTCCTCAAGTGCTCTGAAGACAACCCGCTCTTTTCTGGCATCGACTGCAAGGTCTTCGAGTCGCACTTCCCCACGACCATGGCCTTGTCTGTGCTGGTGACCATTGAAATGTGCAACGCCCTCAACAGGTGGGCTGGGCAGGGGGCCTGGAGCAGGAGTTGAGGAGTCGGGGCTGAGGCTTATGAGTAGGGTCCGAGGGTCAGGGGTGTCCAGGATTGGTGTGTGAGGTCAGGGGCTCCAGGATTGGGGTCCAAGGGTCAGAGGCATCCAGGATTGAGTTCTGAGGGTCAGAGAAAGGGGACCAAGCCCAAGGACAGGCCCTGGAGGGCTGGGTGGGTGGCAGTGACACACCACTCTGGCCCTTCTGCCTATCAGAAAAGTGCAGAGGCTCCTCCACACGGGTGGGTGGGTGCCTACAGTGGGCCTCCTGCGTCCTGGCCTGAGGTCGCACCCTGTGCCCTTGGCAGTGTCTCGGAGAACCAGTCGCTGCTGCGGATGCCACCCTGGCTGAACCCCTGGCTGCTGGCGGCTGTGACCATGTCCATGGCCCTGCACTTCCTCATCCTGCTGGTGCCGCCCCTGCCCGTGAGTTACCCCCCACCCCTTCTCCAGTTCCTGGGGGGACAGGGTGCCCAGACCCCATAGACCCTTGGCTGGTTGCTGGGCCTTTCTGGGCTTCTCTGCAATGGAAACCACCTGGAGAACAGGGAGGCGAGAGATCTGGCCAGCTACCTCCCTCCAGATGTGTCCTCACCTTTGGGAGCCCCCAGACTTGGGGAATAGAAAAGGTGGAGACACCCTGCTGAGGAATGTCACAAGGCTGAGGTGTCAGAAAGGACTGTGCTCTTTCCCAGTGCAGAATCCTTCCACTTCCCAACAGGATGGATGGGCTTTGGTGTTGCAGGCAGGGGCAGGGAAGGGCACTTCAGGCAGAGGAAACTGGGCAGACGAAGGTCCAGAGGTGGGACACCAAGGTGTGCCTTAGAAGTGTCCATGAAAGTCAGTGGATGGAGCCCATGTGGATGGAGCGGGGGATGGCTGGGGCACCAAGCAGTCTCTTCTGTAACCAAACCTCCCTTCCCCTCCCCGCCAGCTCATTTTCCAGGTGACCCCACTGAGTGGACGCCAGTGGGTGGTGGTGCTCCAGATATCTCTCCCTGTCATCCTGCTTGATGAGGCCCTCAAGTACCTGTCCCGGAACCACATGGACGGTAAGTGGGAGGCCCAGGCCCTCCCATCTGCTCCCCACCTGCCTCCAGCTGCCCCTCTGCCTGCCCCTGCTCTGGGCTGCAAGGGACACCGCAGTGCACAGATCCTTAGGTGGTCCTGGCTGCAGCCTCCCCATCTGTGCAGTGGGGCAGGTGTTCTTGGATCATGAAGTGGAGGACGTGCAGGGGCTCTGGTGGCCGTGACCCAGGGTGTCTGCAGGGTCTTGCGCTGCAAGGGTCCAGGCTCACGGGGCTGCCAATGGGAGCACTGCTCAGGGCCCTACTGCCTCGCTGTCCTCACCTGCCACCCCCCCTGCATGGCCGGGATACTGTATCCTCCTCTGGGCCTTGGCCTCTGACCCCTCTGCACCTGGCCTGTCTTTATCCAGGCATTCTCAGGACAGTCTCCCAGGTCTGGAGTAGGCAGCCGCTGACCACCTCCCGGATCCAGACCACACCGGGTTGGCATTTTTGGTGTCACTTTGCAAGGGGAAGGTGCAAGGGGAGGGTTCTTTGTTTCTGAGTTCACAGCATCCAGGAGTGGACAGAATGGCAGTGGTCAGGTGGGGAGGACGGTGTGCAGAGGAGCAGGCTGGGCATGGGGTCATCGCCCTGCTGCTGCATGGTGGGCTCGCAGGGTGGGTGACTCTGAAGCTCCCAAGGGCAAGGGCGGCAGCATTGTTCTCACATCAGCTGCTTGGAGAGGGAGGAAGCAGGGGTGAGCTCCCTGTTCCTGGGAGTTTGAGCAGAGGCAGCGGCCACACGGCTGGGCTGGGCCACTGCGGGAGGCCACCACTAGCAAGAATGTGTCCCAGTCCCAGGGGAGGGCTGGGTTGGGGGGACTATAAATAGATCACATGCTTGTCATTCCATAGGGGCTGAGGCAATCAATTGGCCCCCATTCCCCACACTGGACAGCCCTGCTGGGTACTGCAAATATTTTATCTTTTACCAAGGGCTCAAACAAGTTGAGCTGGAGATGCTCTGGAGATGCTGACCTACCATAGGTCTGTCCAGGGAGACAGACCCCTGAGGGTGGAGGTGGATGCTCAGCCACAACAAGGCCTGTTGGACCCACAGGTGGGGCTGGGGGAGCTGGGCATGGCCATCCTGCCCCCTGCCTGGTTCTTTCTGGCCCAGCCTCCGTGGACACCCCTGGGGAGACGTGGAGGAGGAAATGGGTCTGACACCTGACACTCCATCCACGGGGCCCAGCTCTGGCCAGAGCACAGGGATGGCCTACCAGGAAATCCTCCAGCCAACTCTGACCACCTGAACTCACCTGCAGAGCCAGGCCTCCTGGTGACAGGGACAGTGCAGGTGGCTGCTCTGTCTTCCTCAAGAGACTGCCCGAGTGAGAAAACTTAGAAGTGAGAAAATTCTGCCCATGGCTATAATCTCCCACCCGGTCGAAAAGCCTATGTCTCAATGTCATTCAGCATTGGCTGGTGGACGGTGGGGGACTCCTGGGCCTGACAGGAAGAGGGAGAGGGCCCTAGCAGGATGGGGCAGGTTGGAAGGCTGGGAGGGAGCGGTTTCTGCCAGCCTAGGGTTAGGGGTGGTTTCTGGAAGATTCGGGGTTAAAGCAGAAGTTTGAAAGGACAGGATTGAACCTGGTGGAGCAGGGGCTGGAGTTCAGAGTGCAGGGAAGACGGGTGAGGCCTAGAGGGCCTTGGGTGCCAAGGTGAGGGCCCTGGACATTATCCTCAGAGCATTGGAGGGACTGTGGCAACCAAGGAGGACAGGTGGAAGGGGCGAGACTAAAAGCGGGGCACCTGGTGAGCGGTGTTGAGCTGGTCCTGGGCAACGCCCCACCTCCACTGTTGACCTGAGAAGTTGAATGTGTCCCCCATAAAGTTGGGCTGGAAAAGGTGGTGGCTGCTTGTCGGGAGTGGCTGTGGGGCCCACAAGATGGGCACAGGCTGGGCACCTGTGTCCACGTCTGAGAGGTAGGTTGGAGGGCCTGAGGAATGTGCTCGCTGGAAGCCCAGGCAGCTCTGCCCCATGCGGCTGCAGTCCCCTGGGCCTCCTAAAGCCATACTGGACGGGGTGAGAGGGGACCCTTTATGTTCCCAAGCCAGTCAGGTGGCCTTTTAGGGAAGTTTTGCTGAGGCCTGGCGCTTGTGACTTCCCCATGATTTACGATGGTGTGTCCTGGGGAGACTTGTGGATGCCAGGTCAGCCCTAGGAGGTTGGGGGACCCTCTTGCCCCACCTCTTGGCTCTTCCCAGGTGTGGCTGAGCCGCTGTCAGGGAGGCCTGTGGGCTGGGCTATGGGCAGAGGAAGGCTGAGGAGGCTGGGCGGACAGATCCGGGAGGGTCAAGGATACGAAGTGGGCTCAGACTTTATTCTGAGGACAGTGGGGAGCCGTGAAAGGAGTTGATGGGACCAGATTTGGGCTTTTGTGTGATGCCAGGGGCAGAAGGGTGCAGTGAGCCTGGCACAGGCTTGGGGGCAGGGCAGCAGAGGAAGAGATAAGCTCAAGTGATTTAGGTGAAATCGGGCCTGGGTCTGTGGGATGGGGAAAGAGGCAGGGAGGTCCCTGGCTTCTGGACCTCATGACGGTGGGTGGTGGTTCCCCAACTACAAACCAAGAGGAGAATATTCACTGTGGGGGCGGGACGGGGATGCTGACGGAATGTGTGGGGTGAAGGAGGCCTGGAGGCATCCAGGGAGTGTGTCGGGCTGGGTAGACCAATATCTGGAGTAGGGGAGGCCAGGGGATAGCGGGGCTGTCCCAGGGAGATGGAGGATGGAAGGGGCTGAGGAAGGGCAGAAAGGACCAGCCTGGATGTCTGCTCTCACGCATACATCTTAAACTGCTCTTGGGTTTTTCTTCCAGAAGCAAAGGAACAGAAGTGAGTGCTGGGGACAGAGAGGAGTCTCCGGTGTATACCTCAGACTGATGGTGCCCAAGCACTCCCCCCACTCTCCCACCCCCTGCTACCACGCTCGCCCACTTGCCCACCGGGCCATGCCAGACACACCACAGGCCTAAAGCTGGAACAGCCACCCCCAGCCACAGTGCCACGCTCGCTGTCCCCACTTCCATCTGACCTGGGGGCTCTCTAATTCATGTCTCTTGGACTCTCCAAAGCTCTGGCCTGGGAGCTGCAGCCTGGAACGGGGCTGTCAAGAAGCCAGAGCTGGCAGTGGATCCAGAGATCCAAACCCCTCCACCCCCAAATCCATGAGCATATTTCTGGAGCTCTTCTCCTCGCTTGGAGACTGGGCATTTGCTTGGTGACCAGTGCCTCTGCACAGATGGAGGACTTCTGGGGGCCCTTCTTACAGGCTCTGACCTCTCACTTAGTGCCTGGTCTGGGGCCTGGTCAGCCCAGGGAGGGGGGTCATAAGGGGCCATCTGGACCCAGCTGTGCACAGCAAGGGCAGGCGGCCCCCTCCACTCTGCTCTGCTTCCACAAAGTTGGCTCATGAGAGCTTGAGCCTGTTTCTGTTTATATGTGCAGGCCCCAGGGAGTTAAAGGGTCAGGGAGAGGAACACAGGAGTGGGGAGGAGGGGCTGGGCAAGGACCCCTGTCCTGGGAGACAGCCGCTTGCCTTCCTCAGTTGGGCTCTCTTCCTGGCCTCAGGTTTCCCTGTCCTAAGCAAACGAGACATACCGAGTCTCCATGTTGCGTGGTCTGCACGCGGGGGTCTGTTCGCCATCCACGTCCCTGGTGCCTGAGACCCCAGACATCCTTGGGTTCCTGGCCACTGTGCCCTTCCACCCAGCCTGGCGTTCAGCCATCTGCTCTCTGCACGTCTTGGTGATCCTGAGTCTCCTGGACTTTTGGCCTCACTCTTTGCCAACCCCCCCACACACACGCCCCTAAGTCCAAAGGATGTCACTAAGGATGGCTGATTACCCAAGGACACGTCCCCTCCCTCCCTCCTTGCTGGAAGGACGCGTCTCCATGTGGATCATGTCAGATGATAGGAAGATAGCATTTGATGGACAAAAGTTTTCTCTTAATGCAGCTCTTTGCTCCTTTGGCAAAAACTAGGCGGGCACGTAGCAGAAAGGAGTGAGTAAATGACAGTCTGCGTGTCTTCGCCCTCCTAGAGAGTGTACTACGTGATTATTTTATATGTAAATCAAGACACATTCCTGTCCTGGTCCCCACAATCAAAAGCCCCTCGACCAGCCTTGCAGACAAATGGGCTCCAGGTTCTGTAGCCCCTTCCCCCACTCAAAGGTTCCCTCTCCTCTCTCAAAGGTTCTGGAGGCACCAGAGAAACAGAGTTGGGGTTGGGGGTGTGGTGCCCAGCAGAAATTCTCTGCTTCTTTCCTGAGGGAAGGGGCACCTTAGCAGAGCCACGGTCCTGTATCCACTTGCTGAGTTGATGTTTGGTAGAGAAATAAAGATTTTGTGCCTGGGGCAATGGAGGACCCTCAGCATCTGTTTTCCTGGGGTGTGATCCCACCATTTCTGCCCACTGGGTGTCTACCTAGGGCCCTACCACCTGCACCCACCCCCACCCCAGGAAACGGTGAGTGGAGGTCTGGGGTTCCCACATCACCAGGATTCTTCTCTTCCCCGAAGACCCGGCTCTTTGAGAGGCACCAGCTTTTGTGAAGCTGCACCCGAGTGGCAGATGCAGGACTGGGCAGACCCTCACCAGCACTGGTCTGCTTGCTCCTCATGTGACAGCACTTGACAGCTTGTGCATGTGTTCAAAAGCGTTTTGTGCTTTATGTCACCACTGAGGAAATCGAGGCTGAGAGGGGTCTATGACTTGGCCTGGGGCTGGGCTGGGCCTGGAGCCTGAATCTCAGGGGCCCCTTGCAGCCTACGGAGGGGTCCCATTCCTGGCTGTTCTGTAGATCCTGAAACCCTCCCTGAGGTTTCTCTCTTGCTCTATTTCCCTCCCCTCGTCTGACCCAGGATGCCATCACCTCTGGCCTTTTAAGCCCAGCTCAAATGTACCTCCCACCTCCCCAAGGCTTCCCTCAGCTCACACTGTGGGGTCTCTGCAAGGCTGCTTGAGATGACCCCACTTGCTCAGGTGGCCCTGCCTTCCTGGGAGCAGGGTCTCTGGGGAGGGAACAGCCATGTGCCCCCCATTCAAGATACATCACAAGGGTTTGGTGTCTAATTCTCTAATCCTCTACCTAGCTGTCCTGGGAAGGAAATGCAGGGTCTGCCCACAGGGCTAGAGGCAGGACTAACTGCATAATTTGTGGGCCCCATGGCAAAATAAAAACATGGAGCCCTTTATTCAAAAATGAAGAATTACTGCAGCAGCAGAGCATTAAGCCAAGCGCAGGGCTTTTCTGAGCACAGGGCCTGGTGCAACAATGTAAGGCACACGGCTGTGAAGCCAGCTATGAGATGGGCCATCCCCTGTAGGAGCTCCAGGGATTTTTGCAGGGGTGGCAAGGGTTGGTGCATAGTTCACAGCAGGAGCCAGGGTGGGCAGAAGGATCCCCTTTCTACACACCCCATCCTTTCCATACGCCTCACTTCCCAGGGTCCTCATCCAGCGCTGTGAGATGAGCCAGGCAGGGTTAGGGCTGCATTTGACAGATGAGGAGCCTGAGACCCTCTGGGGGTCTGGCCATCCAGCTTGCCTCATCATGGTGGGCAGGGGTGTGTGTGGAGCTAAGATGGACCTGGGCAGGGCTGGGGGACTTATGTCTGAAGTGCGCTGGGTTCCAGCCTTCCCAGCAGCCTGGGACTCCATGATCAGGCCTGCCCCAAGTCCAGCTCTGTCCAGCCCACAGCATGGAGTCGACAGGCCAAGATGGGGTGGCCAAGGTAAACAGAGAGGTTTCCTTACCTCACAGCTGCTCACCCAGGAGGGAATTCCAGGGCAAGCCCCGGCACACTTCCCACAGGCTTGGGGTTGGCAGCTGCCAAAATGCCCATGCATCCCCCTGCCCCCTAGAGACCAGGACTTTGTGCTGCCCAGGCCCCTGGGCTCCACCCTGCACAGCGGCTGCATTAGGAGAAATGGAGGGGCAGAAACAGAGGTAGAGAGGAGAAAGGAAGACAAGTGCGCACCAAGGCCTGTGTCCACCGCAGCTTTATGCATTACAGGGCCGCAGACGTCCAGCAGGAGAAACATACTGTGGCCTGTCCATATGATAGGATGCTCCTCCACAACAGGAAAAACAAAATGCAAGTACACGCAACCTCCTGGGTGAAGCTTAAAATCTCTGCACTGAGTGAAAGCAGCCAGATGCAAAAAGAGCTCCTCCCGTGTGCCTGCACTTGGTACAAAGTTCTGGAGAAGCCGGAGCAGATCTGTAGTGACAAAGTAGATCAGTGACTGCCCCAGCTGCGGGGACTGGGAAAGATTGACTGCAAAGCAGCGGGAGGGAATGTTCCAGGGAGATGGATTTGGGAGCGTGGCTGTGTGCATTTGTCAAAACACTTCGAACTGTGTCCCTAAAATAGGTATATTTTATTGTCTATGAATTATACCTCAATACAGTTTGATTTGAAAAGGAAAAAAAAGAGGTAGGAGCCAGAGAGGAGGTGGCTGGTAGCAGCTGTCATGTGGGTGCAGAGGTGTCAGCATCGTCAGGAGCTGGGAGAGCTGGAGCCCCCTCAGTGAGTGCCCAGTGTTTGTGGCCCAGGCCAACCCCAAGGAGTCCCCAGGGGCAGGAAGAGGCTGGGGACTGAGGGGACATGGCCCAAAAGAATGGAGAAGGACTAGGAGGGTGTGACACCTTGAACACTTGGGAGGAGGGGTCCAGCCGGGTCACGGCCATGGCGGGGGAGAGAAGAGTCCTGAGAAGCAGCTCAAGGACTGGCAATGGGAGACACCAATCCTGGGGGCCCAGGCTGCACCCCCAGGCCTCCCTTTGATGGTTTCTTGTGGACTGGCTGAGGGCCCTGTCCCAGTGGTGTCTGAACAGCTATGAGGCATTGGGTGAGTCCTTGGCACAGGCAGATGATGGAGGGGATTGGACCTAGGTGTGCTCCCTGCATTCTTGGGACCCTGAGTGACTAAGGAGACCTGCTGAAGCCTGTGCCCACTCCCTCGAGGGCTTGGGCTGGCCTCCAGGCCCGAGCAGTGGCTCCAGAATGGGCATGGGCGCCCTCCACGCTCCACAGAGCCGCTAAATTTAGCCAGGCAGGGGAGGCTGTCCTGGAGCCGAGCACTTGGCAGCAGGACCCTGTCTCCCTACAAGGCCCGGCCCAGTGCCTGAGCTGGCCACCTGGCCTTTGGGCTTATAAGGCAAGACTGGCGGCTTTCAACTGCTGGAGTCTTTGAGTGGGCTCTGGGCCAAGCTCTCAGACTTTGGGGAGTCTCCTTCTCAGCCACTGGCAGACATGGGAACCACTTGTTGTGTGACTTTGGGCCAGGTACTCAACTTCTAGAGCCTCACTTCTCTTATGTATAATATGGGGGTTCTAGTACCTACCTCACGAGGCTGTTGAAAAGACAAACTGGCTGAACTCCAGTATGTGGAACTCTGACCTCTGCCCTGCCCGCCCCTGCACCCCACAATGCCTCAAACAAACACAGGCATCTCTGTCCCTGAGGATGCTGGAGTTGGGGCCAAGGGCAGGAGCACACAGGCCTGGGATTAGGAGTATGCGTTTCGGAAGCAGTGAAAGAAACACTGACCCCATCAGCTGGCTGCCTTGGCCTTGTGGAGTTACTAGGAAGCAAAGAAATTTGGTCTTTGGGGTGCACATTGGATATGATAATATCTATCCCCACATAGGGGGTGCTCCCGGCCATTCTCTTTTCTGAGTGCCAGGGCCAGTGCCCAGGCTGTAACAGAAGCATATGTGTGCTCCAAGCAAGTCTGCCTGTCCTTCTGTCTGTCAGTGAGCCTGGCTCCTTGGAGGAGGAGGACGTGGTGTGAGAAGGACAGACGTCAATTGGACAACAACTGCCTGACCTCCCTCCCTCCCTTCCTTTTTTCTTTTCTTCCCTCGTCCCTTACGTAGTGTCTGCCACTCTCCAGAATATGGTGCGCGTGTCAGGGAGGGTGTGGAGAGACACAGGAATGGCTCAGGCGGTCTCAGCACCCACCTCACTCCCTGTCACAAGCAGCTCGTGTCCTGGGGCTTCCTATTCCAATGGCCATGGGTCAGATGGGAAAGGGACAGGCTGTTTTATCTGTGGTGAAGATCAGGTCGAAGGGTCTGGCCGCCACAGCTCTGCCTCCCAACGTCTCTGGATTTTTCCTTAGGGAAGCCCAGGCTACAGTTCTCGCTGGTCCCCACTGGATTGGCAGATACTGTGTGGGCGAGGCGGATCCTCTCACAGGGAGGGATTGTCCTGGGGTGCTGAGGGGCAGTGTGCCTGCCCTCTCTGGGTGACCCCCTTCTGTCCAGAAGGCAGCTCTGCTCAGACACGCAGCTGGGATTCCCAGCCCCGGGTCTGGCGCCCTGCCCAGAGCGATTTCCTAGCTAGTGGCCTGCCAGGAAGAAGACTTATCAGCTGTCAGGCTGGGGCAGTGTGGACTGGGGGGAGGGGGGCTGGCCAGGGCAGCCCCTGCTTCAAGCTTGAACCTCCAGTGCTGCCAGGGTGAGCTTGGGCAACTCATTTCTCTTCTCTGAGCTCCAGTTTCTTCATCTGCAGAACAAGGGGTGGGGGTGGGGCAGGCCTCCAGCTCTGGCACTTGGAGAGCTAACCTGGGACTCCTCCCACCAACCCAGCCCACTGGGGTCCCCATGTTCAGGGCCTGGGTTGGGATTGGAAAGGGTAGGGGCAGGCTGTACTCCAAACTCAACAGTGGCCTAAAGTTTTCTGTCCTCTGCATTGTTGGGACCCATCCACCAGGGGCCTCGACCTATGGGAAAGTGCCCTTATTGTCCCCACTTTATAGATGAGGAAGCAGGCCAGAGAGGAAGGCAACTTGCCCAAGACCCCACAGCCAACACGTGGCAGAGCCAGGGACTTCTGATGTCCGGCTTTCCTGGTTGGCCTTGGGCCCGACGGCAATGTGTGATCGATGTGGCCCTTGCCTTCCCCGGGCTCCTCTGGTGGGGGATGGGGGGTGTGGCTAGGGCAGGACAGGTGACGGGAAAGGAGAGATGTGGGATGACAGAGATGCCAGCTCAGTGCCGAGGTTGATGGGACACAGGCCAGGCTTGAACTCAGAGGGATGGGTGGACAGAAAGTGGTCTACAAAGGCAGGGGTGGGGTTCCAGCCATGGCTCAGGAAGTGTCAGGCAGCAGGACCGCAAGCGGCCTTCCTTGCTCTTCTGACCTACTTGCTGGAGGCCCCCAGGGACTGAGCTGCCCACCTGGGGAGTGAGGGAAGGGATTGATGCGGGGTAGGGGGTGGGGATGGGTTCCCGACTTTGGGGGGCTCTAGCCTGAGGCCACCCCAGCTTCCTCCAGGCCCTGGCCAGAGCTCTGTCTTGCCGGGTTCTTTGAAGATGGGAGTGGCTGATGGCTTTATCTTTGCCCCTGTGAGGGGTGGCTGGTGGTTTCCTGCCAACAGCTCCTGCTTCCGGAGGCCCAGCCTGGCCCAGGCGGAGCCAGGAGGGGCAGTGGGGCTGGGCCTGGGTGGCCCAGCAGCCCCGCCCCCATCTATCTTTGGGAATTTATTTGTCCACGGGCGCGGCGGCCTGCAGTCCGTTGCCTTCCAGAGGCCAAGATCTGCTCTGACCACCCAAGGACACTCTCTCCCAACCCAAGTGCCTCCAACTGACCTCTGACGCCTGACCTCTGGCTCTACCTGCCCTGCCTTGCTCTTCCTAAAGGGCTGGGAAGCCCCCCAGAAGTGCCGCTGTAGACTTGGGTGGTGATGCTGGGCTCACTCTGAGAGTAAAGGCCGTGCAGCGGGCTCAGTTGTGAGTGCCCGCCTGGCCACCATGGCACGGCGGCTCCAAGATGAGCTGGCTGCCTTCTTCTTTGAGTACGACACCCCCCGAATGGTGCTTGTACGCAACAAGAAGGTGGGCGTTGTTTTCCGGCTGATCCAGCTCCTGGTTCTGGTCTACGTCATTGGGTGAGTCTGGGCCCCCTCCCCACTTCCCTCTTGCACTAGTCCCCAACCTGGACCCGTCCTCCAGGCTCTGGCATGCGCCCCATGACACCGCGGAACCTCTTTCTCTTCATCCATTGGTAGGCCTTCCTGACAAGCCACCATGCTATCTGAAAGGCATGGAAACCCCTGCTAACTCACTGTCAAGGTGGGGATACTGAGGTAGGAGGGAAATCCCCGCATCAGGTCATACGGTGAACAAGAGGCAAAGCCATTGGGTTCTGAGAATCTGACTCAGTGTTAATGGTTTCTTCAAGTGGCGAGTGGCGTGCGAGGCTGTGGCCCAATGAACCATAGCCACTGAGTCCTACCTCTCACCTCCCACCAAACCAGGTTGCTACTAAGAGACGCAGGCCATACCTCATTTTACAGGCCTGAGAGACAGGCTCTACTACCACCTTCCCTGACTAAATTAGGGACATCCTGGGATATTTGAGTCCCCAGGAGCAGAGAAATTCTCAAATTCTGAACACCTGGTACCTGAATGGTGGCATGTCAGGCAGAGGATGGAGGTCAGTTCTGGTCCCAGGGATGATAATTCCTTCCTGGGCATCTCTGAAGCTGTCCCACTGTTCCAGGTGTAAAGGGTCAGAGCAGGGTGAGACTCCCTCTGCAGTCTGGCTGTCCTGGGGACCAAGACGGGCCTGGCAGGGGCTTGCATACACATGTGTCATGTGGATGCACATATGTCCCACCCAGATCTCTGTGTCCATGCACATGCCCTCGTGTATCTGGGCATGTGCCCAATGGGTGTTGCTGCTGAGTGTGTCCCTGGGGCTGGGTGCCCACATCTGTGTGCCCTTGTGTGTGCATAGAGTTATTTCCCGGCCTATCCTCTGTGTGTGGTGCATTGTGTCCACTCACAGTTACTCTGCAGAGGGCTCTGAAGGCCCCAGGGCCATTGAAGGGGGCTCAGGCCCTGCTGGGGGTCTGGGGGTGCCTGGAAGCCCCAGCCTGACTTTACTGTGTGATTCTGAGGGCTCTGCCCCTCTGGTCTCCATGTCCCCATTTTTGCTGTGGTTCCAACCCAGGGCACCAAGGCAGGCTGACCAGAGGTCCTTACAGTGACCTTGTAGTCCTGATCCTCCCAGAATTTCTGGCATCTGAAACAGTCTTCCCTCTGCCCCTCCAGTCCCCAAAGTTCAGAGAGGGTCAGGTGGAGCGAGAGCCAGTCCTCTGATGCCTTTCGGCCTCTGCCTCCCTCCTGTTCACAAGCCAATTTGACATCTGAGATGTTTGAGCTTGTGAGGGACACTGAGGCTCAGAGAGGAGCAGTGGGGTTTCCAGGTAACACAGCAAGTCAGTGGCAAATCCACGGTGAGAACTGAGGCCTCCCGACCCCCGGGCCCCTCCTCTGTCTGCTCCTTTCCCACCATCACATAGTTCTGGGGGACCTTCTGAATGGGCACTGGCGGTGGGATGCCAGGCACAGGATGGACCTAGAAGTCCACCATTAGCTTCCCTCCTGACCCTCTGGGGCAGTGAGAGGTGCCCACTCAGGCCCAGCCTGCCTCTTGCCCAGAGTTTGGGAGAAGGTATCCTCACTCTGGCCCCTGCGGCTCCCTACTTCTGCTTTCAGATCAGCAGCTGTGAGCACACCAGGGCCCTCCTGTGTGATGGTCACAGACTGTCAGAATGGAAAAGACAGTCCACCCACCCCATCCCCAGCAGCAGCACGTGCCCCAAGCTGCCATCTAGCCCTGAACACATACCTCCAGCCAGAACCTCACTACCTCCCTCCCTCCCTTCCTCCCTCCCTAAACAGTCGACTCAGTTTCCAGATGGATGTGGCCCTTCTTAGAACGCATGGGGCTCAGAGGCACAGTGATTTAGTGGATCTCACGGTCAGGAAGAGGCTAATCAGGATTTGAACCCGGCTGCACGGCTCCAAATTGGCCTTCATATCATGCGAAGGAAACATCCTCAGGGCCACTGCCCTGCCTAAGTCACATAGCAGAGGCTAGAAGGCAGAGTCCCTTGCCCCCCAACACCCCCCCTACCTGCCCCCGAGCCCTGGCTTCAGGCCTGCTTGGGCTGCAGCTCCTGCTGTCTCTGTCGCCCTCATCTGGCCACTGCCCAGTGCTGCACTGACCCCTCAGCTGGGAACCCACAGATGCAGACTGAAGCCTTGACCCCCCCAGAGCTGGTTTCGGCATCTCAGGCCTCAGTTCCCCAACCGTTACACAGGGCAGGGTTGGAAGGGGCCCCCCAGAGATGTTGCACTCAGCTCAACAATTTGCTCCTCCCAGATGTCTGTCCAAATGTCTGGAGCTGTGGGCATTGCAGGGTGGACAGAGAGGAGCATGGGAGTAGAGCCAGGCCCTCAGCCCCAGAGAAAGGACAGAAGCCAGCTGGGGGATGGGTAGACAGAGACAGAACTGGACAGAGGGACGTGGAGCACAGCAACTCAGATGAAGAGAGGTCTTGAGACTTTGCGGTGGAGAGAGAGAGGCAGACGGGCTGAGATGTCCAGGACTGGAACAGCTTCTGAGGAGGGAAACTGAGGCTATGATCTCTCTCAGTCATGCTCTTCTGGAAGCCCAGTGCGAGTGGAGAGAGGGAGTGGGCCTGAGGCTCTGGAAGGGCTGAGCTAAAATGTTCAGATTAAGATGGTCTCACAGTTAGAGCTGTCTCCCGGGAGGTGATGTGCTCTGTCACTGGAGGTGTCAGGGCAGTGGGCTGTCACCCATGACCTAGCTGGCCCATGCTAGGGGCATGCTGGGACATGGTCCTGCCTGGGGGCTCTGGTTCGGGGAGAGAAGGGGTTGGTCTGGCTGTAGCACACAGGATCCCCTGGGGGATTCGTGAATGCCGTTTGGTCAGGGAGGGCTGGGAAGGCTTCTTGGAGAAGGTGACCTGCCACCAGCCATGAGCAAAGGCCTGGGGGCCATAGGCCGGGCAGGTCTGCTCTCAGCTTTCTCTCTGGCCCCTCTGGGCCTCTTCTCACTCAGTCCTCACTCGTCCCCACACAGAGCTCTTGAAATCCCATGTTCTGAGATCTCCAAATTGGTCGTGGAGTGCACCAATTAAGGATAAGGATGGATACAATTTATTGCTGAAAGAAACTCATGCAGGGACCATTTCTGCATCATCTTCTCCATGCCTAGTGCTGTGCCAGGGGACAGAGCGGGGACAGACTGTGGGGAGAGGGAGAAGGAGGAGCTGAGGATGAACTGGCCAGAACTCCTTTGGTTCCTGTGACAGAAGCCCAATTACACTGGATTTAAAGGGAAGAGTTGAGGGGCTGGCCAGTTCACTCAGCTGGTTAGAGAGCAGCCTTGTAACACTAAGGTCACGGGTTTGGATCCCTGTACTAACCAGCTGCAAAAAAAATAAAAATAGGGCCAGCCTGTGGCTCACTTGGGAGAGTGCGGTGCTGATAAAACCAAGGCCACGGGTTCGGATCCCTATATAGGGATGGCCGGTTGCTCACTGGGTGAGCGTGGTGCTGACAACACCAAGTCAAGGGTTAAGATCCCCTTACCAGTCATCTTTATAAAAAATATCAATAAATAAATAAAAAATAAAAATAAAAATCTGAAAGAAGGGCAGGGGTGTTGATTGGCTTATTTAACTGAAAAATCAATGTGGGCTTCAGGCCTGGCTGGATCTGCCATGATGAGGTCTCAGGAGGAGCAAGGTTTTTGGGGAGATGAGGAATTCAGGTTGGTTCAGTTTTGGTTCTCAAATGAAGCTGTCTAGGATCTGCCTTCACTTTTTGGTTCTGCTCTTCTCTGTGGAGTTCCATTCTCAGACAGGCTCTCTGTCCTCATAGTGACAAAATGGCCACCAGCAACTCCAGGCTGACATCCCACCAGAGTCGCACCCCCAAGGCACAAGAGAGTCTTCTCCTCCAGAGTTCCAACAAAAGTCCCAGGTCTGGCTCTTATTGGCTGGGGTTGGGTCATGTGCCCACCCAGAGCCAATCACTGTGGCCAAGGAGGTGGAATGCCCTGATTGGAGGAGCTGGTTGTATGCCTGCCCCCGGTCGGGGCCCTCCTGTGGGGAAGCAGAGTGTGAACGAGGGTCCTGGGGCAGGAGAGGAGCCGCAAGAGTCCATCAGACTGGGCTGATGGGAGCATGAACGGAGCTACGGGGAGAGGATATGGGGGCGCGAGCAGTGCCGCTGGCTGAGGCCTTGGGAGGTGTCTAGCCGAGGAGGGGGACAGGCAGGGGTGGGGGTGAAGGCCAGAGGCAGGACAGCTATGAAGAGGCAGCAGTGATGGGAAGAGAGGACGAGGCTGTCCCCAAGGCAGAAGCAGTGACGCTGCAGGGCAGAAGCCATCATCCTGGCAGGCCCCCACCCGGGGTGGCCACTGCTTCTGTCCATCATTGCCGTGCACACAGTGTAGACAGAACTTCCGACTTCTCAGGAGAAGTGGGAAATTGGAATTTATGGGTGAAAGAAACCTTCTCTGTTTTCAGAGGTTGGCGATTCCTTGCAAAATTTTAAAAAACAAATCATTGGCCTATCTTGTCTGCAGGCTGCATGTTTATTAACCCAGCTCTGAGCTCAGTCCCTCCTGGACCTAGAGTCCAGTCTTGCCCCTCCTAAAGCCTGCTGTTGCCTGACAGCAAAAGCCCCATTGGGTCAATTGCTGCCTGTGGTTACGCCCTATGTCCTGCCAGCTGCCTGGCCTGTCCTCCCAGCCCTATGCCAGAGCTGCCCCTGGCACCTGCCCCAGCTTCTCCTGTGTCTCGGCCTCCCAACAAAGAGCCCCTCTGGGTACTTAGATGGAAGCCAAAGGAAGACAGGAAGGACAGAGTGACCCAAAGAATGTGGGGATGATGGGAGGGCAGCCATGAGGATAATGCCCAGGCTCGAGCCTGGGTGACAGGGGAGGGACGGCACCATCCCCCATGACGAGGACGCAGGAGGAGCAAATTCTATGGGGAGAGGAGGAGTTCAGGCTAGTCTGGTTGAATTTTTGTTTGTAGATTAGTACTCTGTGTTGAGATAGAATTCATTTACCGTAACATTCACCCTTTTCAAAAATACAATTCAGTGGTTTTAGCGTATTCACAGAGTTGTGTAATCACCACCACGATCTATTTTCATCGCTCCAAAAAGAAACTGTGTACCCTCTAGCAATCACCGCCCATTTCCCCTCCTCAAAGCCTACTTTGCCATTCTGGATATTCCATATAAATAGAATCATACAATATGTGGTCTTTTGTGTCTGGCTTCTTTAGCTTACCGGAATGTTTTCAAGGTTCATCCGTGTTGGTTACAACCTGTATCAGAACTTCGTAACTTTTTTTTTTTTTTGTCTTTTTTTGTGTCCGGCAATGGATCGCAACCCTCAGTGTCGCGCCCGTACCGGACCGGGACCGGCAACGGGATCGCAACCCTCAGTGTTGCCCCCGTACCGGACCGGGACCGGCAACGGGATCGCAACCCTCGGTGCTGCGCCCGCACCTCGCTCAGCCAGTGAGCGGGAACCGGTCTGTATGTGGGATCCGAACCCTCAATGGGAGCGCCGCTGCGCTCTCAAGCGGTGCACTGTAGCAGTGTGCCACCGGGCCAGCCCAGAACTTCGTAATTTTTTATGGCTAAATAATACTCATTCCAATATGAATATATCACATGTTGTTTATCCTTTCATTAGTCTGTGGACATTAGTCGATGGCTATTTCCACTTCTTGGCTCTTATGAATGATGCTGCCATAAATACTTGTGTACAGGTTTTTGTGTGGATGTATGGTGTTATTTCTCTTGGATACATACCTAGCAGTGGTATTGCTGGGTCAAATGGAATTCCATGTTTAACTTTTTGAGAAACTGCAGGACTGTTTTCCAAAGGGTCCGGGTGATTTTGAGGTACCTGTGAGAAGTCTGGGGATGGGCGTGAGGAGGGATGTGAGTCCCCAAGCAGTTGGAGATGTAGACATTTGTGTAAGTTCCTTGAGTGCAGGATTTTTGTTTTGCTCACTTCTGTATTTTTAGTGTCTAGAGCAGAGCTTGACACATAATAGGGGCTCAATAAATAAATATTTGGAGAATGACTAAATGAATTTGTGAATGTGTGGAATTGGATCTCAGGGGAGAGTGCAGATCTGGAGATAGAAATCAGGAGGGTACAGCATGTCTGTGACATCTCAAGTGGGATTCAACCCAGGCTGAGCATGGAAGTCAGGGGAATGGGGCGAATCCACATTGAAAGAGGAATTTGTGAAGAAGGATCAAAGACAGTAAAAATAGGTTTTAGTTATTACATGCCTACTGAGTGTCAGGCATCATGCTAATTTCCTTAAAGAGAACAATTTCCTAGACGCTTTTGTCTCTCCCTGCGCCCAGTCCAGGGCTGAGTACATAGCAGAGCCTTGCTAAATATTCGTTGAGGGAGCAGCACCTTTGAATAGATGCCATCACCACTGTTTTACTGAGAAAACCAGGGCTCAAAGAGGTTTAGCCTGAAGATACACAGCTGGTAAGTGGCAGGGCTGGTACCATGTGGCCTCATCCACGTGGGGCCTTTGGAGAAGGGAGCCCTTGGACAGAGTATTGGTGAGGATGAGGTAGAAAGACTGGGGAAGATTGTTTCTGGAAGGGGGTGGGCTTCTGAAGATGCCAGTGTCCTTGATATTAGGCCCCCTTGGTGGCCTTCCTGGGGTGGGACGACAAGGCCAGGTCAAGGCATGTCTTTAGAAGGTCGGGTCTGGCACCATGGTCATTCTACTATTACCAGAACTGAGGTCACTAATGCCATATTTGACTTGTCCTTTTGACCCCAAGACTGGCAGCCCCAGGGGCAGACACAGCCTGGAAATGTTGCATCAGCCCCAGCATGCAGCCTCCATGTGGCTCTGCTTGCATGCTGTGCTGCTGGTTCCTGGTGGACACACTGAAGCCAGCGCTGCCTAGCAGAAGGGGGCAGAGTCTCGGGCTGGGTGCCTTGAGCCTGGGGTTGACCCCTGCTTGGCCTCTGACTCTTGGGAGGGACACTCCCCCAGGCCTCAGTTTCCCCATCTATGTTATGAGTTGGTTTTGGGCAAAGAGAGAAATGCTGCTGGGATGCTGGGGGTAGGGATGTCAAGAGTGACGTCAGTGGTCTCTCCTGCAGAGGGGTTCAGAATATGGAGCAGCTCCCCCTTCCCCTACCAACAGCTTCTGAGCTTGGGTGCAGAGCCAGAGGCCTTCCTGGAGGAAGGGACCTATGGGGGGAGATGGGGCTGGAGGAGAGTGACAGGCTCAGGACACTGAGAATTGGGGGCCTTTGTCACATTTCACCTGTTGCTACCTGGGACCTGCAGGGGGCAGCAGTGCCCATGCTTAGGCTTGGGGAGTGTGTAGCTTGGTTCCAGTGCCAGGATGAGAGAGGGACTTGGAGAAGGAGGGGGATGGACTATGGGAGGAGAAAAGAGGACATTAGTGGTCTCCCTGGGGTCTGGAGCAGGGAGACAGCCCCCGGAGAGGTAGCAATGACTCTGGGATTAAGGAGCCTGGTGAATTAATTCTGTTACCAAGCCTGAGCTCTGGGGGACAGGAGAGGGGAGCAGATGGCCTTGAGCTCTGCTTGGACAGATGAGTTGGGGATAGAGGTAAGGGGTGGAGGAGGTACAACCTATCTGCCCACAGGTGCACTCACAGATTTGTCCTGGGGATACACAGCTACACACCCCAATGGGCAACGCACACACACACACACGCACAGTTACCCTGTGTCTCACTGAAGCATCTTTCCTGAAGGAAGGAGCCCACACCCTGGAGAGAAATGTTATTCAGGACTCTTTCCATCATAAGCAACAGAAATCAAACCCAAGCTGTCTTAAATAAAGGAGGGGAATTTATTGGCTTATATAACTGAAAAGTCCAGAAGATTTTTTCAACATGCTTCAGGTATGGCTGGATCCAGGTGCTCAAACAACATTGTCAGGAGTCTGCCTCTCTCCATCTTCATCTCCTGGTCTGGCTTTCCTCCAGGTGGGCTTCAATCCTGGGCTTGCTTTCTCTGTGAGGAGGAAAGATGGCTAACCATTGTTTTGGTCTTGCAGACACCCTACTTAGCCACCCAGTAGAGAGGAAGTTTCTTTTCCAGTAGTTCCTAGAAAAATCCTGGCCTCATTGCTGAAACTCCCCTGGTCATGTATCCATCCTTAGATCTGTCACCGATTCCAGGGGCATGGAACATTGATTGGCAAGTCTTGGTCATGCATCCACCCCTGGGCCTAGGAGGGAGGTTAGCACCCCCAAAACTCCCAGACAGAAAGTGGAGGACCTGAAGGAACAGGAGCTCTCAGTGCTGGGAAGGAAAGTCCAGAATTTCCCAAGCGGGCTGGGACTCCAGCCTGACCATTCCCACAAGGGCCCCGACTGGGAGGCTGGATGCTGCAAGCCCTTCAGAGGGCCACTCCCGCTCTGTTTCCCTTCTCATCCCCCTTCCCAGGGGCTCCCAGCATGGCTGAGATAATAATAATAGCTAACGTCTATACAGCACTGATTTTGCATGTATTAACTCATTTAACACAACAACAAGTACTATCCTCAGTTTACAGATGAGGAAACTGAGGCATAAAGGGATTGAATAGCTTACCCCAAAGAACACAGACAGTAAGTAGTGGAGCTGGGATTCAGTTCCAGGTTGCTGGGCCCCAAAGACCAGACTCAGCCATCATGCTCTGCTGTTTCTGGGTGGGAGGACCTCGGGAGCACTCTAGGAAGGAGGATTGGGGTCTGACAGGCTTGGCCTCCAGGCCCCAGCAAACCTCGCTCTTGGAAAAAGATCCTGAAGAGTCATTCAATGGATGTCCTCCCTGGGACTGAGTACTTTCATAGTGAAAAGAACGATGGAACATCAAGTGCCGGCCCACAGGGGAGGTAGGGGAGGCTGTATTGCCTCTAGCCCAAGACAGGAGCTTTAGGAGCAGCGCATGGCTCAGAGGCATCTGGGGAGGGCTAGCAGAAGCACCTGACACATCCAACTGGTGCCAGAGAGGGCAGAGGCCCACACAGTCACATGCCATCTTCAAATGGCCCGCCCAGCTCTGACCCAGAACCACAACTCCCCTGTACCCCCAACACCCCGCAGGTGGGTGTTTGTCTACGAGAAGGGCTACCAGACCTCGAGTGGCCTCATCAGCAGTGTTTCCGTCAAACTCAAGGGCCTGGCCGTGACCCAGCTCCCAGACCTCGGCCCCCAGGTGTGGGATGTAGCTGACTACGTCTTCCCAGCCCAGGTGAGCTGACTCAGGGGTGCACCTTCCACCTACAGGGCCTGGCTCAGGGCTGGGTGGGGCTCTGTGCTACCTCCCTGTGGGGCCAGTCCAGCTCCTCTTTCTCTCTCCCCCCACCCCCCGGACGTCAGTTTGTGAATGACAAGCAGAAGCAGCTTGGTAATCCCTCCCCACTCTGACATCATGGGCTGTGGAGGCTACTGGTGTCATGTGGACTCTAGGGGCCTCCTGAGGCAGTGTTTGGGTTCTTGGTCTGTTCTCCCAACTCAGAGTCCTGCCCCACCCTCCCCTGCCCCTCACTTCCAGGGGGACAGCTCCTTCGTGGTCATGACCAATATCATTGTGACCCCTCAACAGACTCAAGGCTACTGTGCAGAGGTGAGGACTCCTGCCCACTCCCCCCTTATGGGCCCACAGGGGAAAATAACATGGAAGGGGGGTGTCCCTTGGGCATGGGAGGTGAAGCTGGATAGGCTTCTTGCAGGGGCCACAGTGGTAGAATTTCAGGCATAGATTCACATGGAGTAATTGTCAACAATTGGCGGTGCTGAGCCTTCCCTCCCAGCTGTGTGCCAAGCAGGATGCTGAGTCCTGGTTCCTGCCTATCCCTGTCCCCCAACCTCCCCACCCCTGCATGCTGGCATTGGCAATGGACAGCTGGCATGAGCCCAAAGGGAGCCTTGGCAGAGCAGTGTGGACGGGGACTGGGGGGAAAGAGGCTGTGAGCATGGGTCACTCCAAAAAGGTCTGGGACACTGCCCCATGCCCTCCCTAGGGCCCTGGGGGTGGGAGGGGCTCTTCCCAGGGCCCCACCCAAGGGGCCTGAGGCCAGCAGCTCTTCCCTCCCCCAGCACCCAGAAGGGGGTACGTGCAGGGATGACAGCAGCTGCATCCCTGGGAAGGCAGAAAGGAAGGCCCAAGGTAAGGTCAACCTCCCGCTGACCCCCTCCATGCGCCTCTCAGCTCCAGACCCTGGTGTCCTTGGCACCCACCTGCCTCTCTCCACACCCCTCCCCGCAAGGTGTCCTCCATTAGGGAGTCCTTCCTGTTCTCTCCCCTCCCACTGCCCTGTCCCAGACTCAGTCACATTTCTGTCCTCAGACTCCTTCTCTTGGGTGCCCCATCACTGGAGTCTCCTAGGGAAAGGGTCTGGGGGGCCTTGGCTGCACCCCCAGCTTGCAGTGGGAACCCAAGGTTTTCTCCCTTGTTCCAGGCATCCGCACAGGCAAGTGCGTGGCTTTCAATGACACCGTGCAGACATGCGAGATCTTTGGCTGGTGCCCCGTGGAGGTGGATGACAACATCCCACAGTAATGCCCTGTCCTTCCAGGGAGCTGGGAACAGGGTCCCCAGCCCAGACAAGGGAGATGTGCAAATGGAAAGCATCTGTCCCCCTTTCTTCTGACCCCACCCTCACCCCATCCATGTGGCCCAGGCCAAAGATTACCCTGGTCAGGGGGCCTGTGAGCCCACCATGATAGCACACCCACCCCTCCACCCCTCCAAGGCTGCGGCAGCACCCTGTGTGCTCTCATGACCCCCATACCAAGCTCTGCGTGGGGCATACAGGGGACTTCTAGGGAGGGGTAGTGAGTGCGTGAACTCTCCTCCAGCCCTGCCCTTCTCCGGGAGGCTGAGAACTTCACTCTCTTCATCAAGAACAGCATCAGCTTTCCACGCTTCAAGGTCAACAGGTTCGTGGGAAACATGGGCAGAAGTGCAGTTGGCTCCCCGAGGCTGCTGCAGCTGGTCGCAACGGTCTTTGTCTCCCTCCATTCCTGCTGATCTCTCTCTGAAGGCAGAAGTCCAGGCCAGGCACCTGGGGTGGGCTGTGAAAGGGGCAACCTGGAGCCTTTGGGGGATCCCCAGAGCCTTGGGGCATGGTGGGCACCCTCCTGGCTGGCACAGGGCTGCTGCCAATTCCTTTTGCCCCTGTAGGCGCAACCTGGTGGAGGAGGTCAATGCCACCTACATGAAGACCTGCCTCTATCACAAGACCTTGCACCCTCTTTGCCCTGTCTTCAAGCTTGGCTATGTGGTGCAAGAGTCAGGCCAGAATTTTAGCACCCTGGCTGAGAAGGTACGGGGGTTGGTGCCGGGTGAGTGGGAAGGGCTGGGCCCTGGGCTGTAATAAAGGTTTTTCAGGCCCACTTAATCCTCCCCAGCCTCCCTGGTGTGGCTGAGTATATGTATGGGTCTGTCCCCTAGTACTAGAGGACCCCAGGGGACAGGCTTGTGTCCTCCACAGGGCCTGGCATGGATCTGGCACAAAGGAGGTGCCCAGAATGAATGGATGCGGGCAGATATTATCACCTGGACGTTTGCTGATGTTCCACATTTAAAAAATATTAAGCAAAATCAGCCTGAATCCCATAGCCCATGGCCCTGAGAAATCCTGTGTCCTAAGATCCTCACAGTCACCTGGGGTTCCGAGAAGCAGCACCTTATAATGAGCACAGAGCTGGCTGACTGGGTTCAGATCTTGGCTCTGCCCCTACTGAGCAGTGTGACCTCAGACAGGTCTCTTAACTAGAGTGTGTCTGAGCTTTTGCACCTGGCAAGTGGGGACAATAATAGTGCCAGTCTCCTGGGGTTGTCTTGAGGATCAAGTGAGTTCATACCTGTGACAGCACTTCACTACTGCCTGGCATGTGGCAATCCCATGTACCTCCTCCTTATTATTCCTGCTCCAGCAGTCACCTATTCAGGGATGGAGATCAGTCCCTTTTCTGTGGTGTTACCAAAAATCTCACTCATGACACAGTTGTCTGCAGCGGAGGCCAGCAAACTTTTTCTTCCAAATGCCAGATAGTAAATATTTTCAGCTTTGCAAGTCTGCATGGTCCCTGTGCCAACTACCCAAGCAAGCTGTGGTTGGGCAAAAGCAGCCACAGACAACATGTAAATAATGGGCCTGGCCACATTCAGCCAGTGGGCCTCAGTTTGCCAACCCCTGGAGAGGGTTTACCCCATAGCAACATATACAATCTAAAGGCTGAATGTCAGACTTCCCTTTGCTAAAAATCTCCCTGCCATCCCCTACTGGGAATTTCTCAGTACAGCCTCCCACCAAGTCGCCCAGCTCCCTGCCCCCTTCTCTGACCACCTCCCAACTCTTCTCCCGTCGCTTAGCCCACCCTATCTGTCCTGTTCCTTGCCTTACCCAGAGGAGCTTCACTTTCTCAAGTTTTCTCTTCCTAATCCATGTCTTCACAGATTCACTCTTTTTCTTCTTTTTTTGGCTGGCTGGTACAGGGATCAAACCCCAGACCTTGGTGTCATCAGCACCATGCTCTACCCAGCTGAGCTAACTGGCCAGCCTCAGATTCACTCTTCAGTTCCGCAGCTATTTGCTTGCCTCCTGCACTGTGACTTGTGCTAGGAACTCAGGAGTCAGGAACGAACGAGACAGACGCACTTCATACTCCTGAAGTTTATAATCTTGGAGGAGATGGGTTAATAAATAATCACACAAAATAAACATATAACTATGAAGTGATAAATGTTCTGAAAGAAAACACACAGAGTACAACAGGAAGAAGAGTAACAAGGACATATTTTAGATTGGGAGTGGTGGTCAGAGAACGTCTGTCAGGGGAAATGACCAAAGGATGAGAAGGAGCCAACTTTGTGGAAAACTGGGAAAATAGCATGTGCAAAGGCCCTGAGGTAGGAAGAACTTGGTGTATTCTGTGTTCAGAAAGAGGAGAGTGGAGTGCGATTAGAGGGATGTGAGACCAGAGAGGGTGACAGGACCTCTACCCCAAAGCAGATTCTCAGTGTCTTTTCTTGAACAAAAAAAGTTCCCTCTTTGAGAGAGTGCTGGTATCAGCTGTAAAACAGAAGTTTCTTAATCCTGAAATCCTGGATCTTAAGTGTCTGTGTCCCTGGCAGGGCGGTGCGGTTGGTATCACCATCGACTGGAACTGTGACCTGGACTGGCACGTACGACACTGCAAACCCATCTATGAGTTCCACGGGCTATATGAGGAGAAAAACCTGTCTCCAGGCTTCAACTTCAGGTGCCTGTCAAGCCCCCACCGGCACATCCTTTCTTGTGGCCCTGGTCCTGCAGGCTTTTCTACTGTACCCAGAACCCTGTGGGGTTGAGCAAGTGTCCCTACAGGGGAGCAGAGGGCCCTGGGAAGCTCCTATTTTGCCTGGGTGGCCCAGCAGGAAGCCAGCAGGGAACAGTGCCTTGGAGGCTTGAGTCCCCCGCCCCTGGGTCTCAGTCCCCTTGAGGCCCACCTGGCCATCACTGGCTGGGGAAATGCTGACACCAGAATACAGAGCAAGAGTTGAGTATGGCACTCCTGGCATGAGGCCTGTAGTCCTGTCTGCGACTGGGGATGGGCTGTACTCGCAGACTTCTAAGGGCTCCCGCACCCCTGATGCTCTGAGAAATCCATCACCCTCCTGCCACCTCACCCCTTCCCCAAGGTTTGCCCGGCACTTCGTGGAGAACGGGACCAACCGCCGTCACCTCTTCAAGGTGTTTGGGGTTCGCTTTGATATCCTGGTGGATGGCAAGGTGAGTGTCCAGCATGAGAGGGGTGGCAGCTGAGACATAGTCTTGGTTCCCATGAGCACCTTCGGGTGTCTACAGTAATGGACGACAGGAAGTTGGATGGGGTTCACTCAGCAGTTCTGCTTCTAACAACAGATAGGGTATGAGTGATGTCGAGTGCAAGGTTTTGCAGACTGTGCCCATGTCTCCCCACAATCTCCCTGGGAACAGGTAAGCAGAGCCGAGGTCAAAACCCAGGTTGTCCGACTGGCAGCTGGTTCCCCAAATACAGTCAGAGCCATGGGCCCAGGCAGTGTGGACAGTTCACAGCGAGGGATGGAGAAGCCCCTTGTTCCAGGCCTGGCCTTTTCCAGCTGGGATCCTCTGACTGTTAATCCTTCTCTCCCTTGGCCCCTACCACCAGGCTGGGAAATTTGACATCATCCCCACAATGACTACCATTGGCTCTGGGATTGGCATCTTTGGGGTGGTAAGTGCTGGGGTCACTGGGTCACCGTGCTAGGGTTTTCCCCTCCTCTTCCACATCTCAGTAGCAGCAACCCCTTCACTCCAAAACTTGACCAGAACTGTCCATCTTATCAAGCCAGCAGCTTCCCACCACACCCTAGACTCACAGTATATCCAAGAAAACCAAGGCCCTGATCCAGTGCAGGACAGAGTGGGATGGGGCTGTCTTGATCCCCTGAGAGTCCTGCAGTGCCTCATGCCCTCTCCAGGAAACTGAGTCGTGGAGTAGGGCAGGATTCAGCCAGGGCCACACAGTCAGTAGGGACTGAGGTGAGATGTGGAGTGTTCTGTACCTGCCCCCAGCTTCTGTGCTCTATCCACGGCCCTCCCTGCCCCCAGGCCACGGTTCTCTGTGACCTGTTGCTGCTCCACATCCTGCCCAAGAGGCACTACTACAAGCAGAAGAAGTTCAAGTACGCGGAGGACATGGGGCCAGGGAAGGTAAGAGAACTCCCTGAGTCTGTGTTGGGGGAGGGGGTGGGCAGCAGCTTCCCCAGGACTGACTTGTATCCCCTCCAATGCACACACAGGGAGAACGTGACCCTGCGGCCACCAGCTCCACCCTGGGCCTGCAGGAGAACATGAAGACATCCTGACCTTCAGCCTCTGACCTCTGACTGGATGCAGCCTGAGGCTTCGGGCTGGACCCTGGTGGGTCCCAGCCAGGGCTGAGGGAAGTCTCCAACCCTCTAAGCCAGGCATATACCAGTTTGCTGGCAGCTCAGCGTGGACATTAGGAGAGACCTGTGCAATTCTGGGTTCTAATTCCACATCCCCTAAGGGAGCCCCACGCCAGTATCAGCCACTCCTGGTCTGTGGCTGGGCAGGACCCCTTTCACACACCTGTACCCTAGCTTTGTGCTTCTCTCTCTGGGCCCTCATTATCCAGCCCACTGCCTCAGTTTCTCTAGATCTGTGCTTTCCAATATGGCAGTCACTAGCCACAGGTCACTATTTAAATTTAAATTAATTAAAATTGAATAAAATAAAAAATTCAGTTCTTCCATCAAACTAGCCACATTTCAACTGTTCAGCAGACACACGTGGCTAGTAGCTACCATATTGGACAGGACAGGATATTTTCATCATTGCAGAAAGTTCTGTTGGACAGCTCTGCTCAATCCGTGTTTCTTATGGCCTCAGATTCCCCTGGGGAGTTTATCAACAATGCAGGTAACTTGGCCCACCCTAAACCTCCTGAACCAGAAGTTCCAGAGCTGCACATATGACATGCATGGATACCAAACTCCCTGGGCCATTTTGGAACCTAAGTCTAAGATCTGCTGTCCTAGAACTTTCTGACTCTAAGCTCCTGACCACTGTCAGACTTAGCCCTGGGCCTGCACCACTTGGCAGGTGCAGGAATTGAGCAGGGTCTCAAACACCTCAACATGTGTGTAGCGTGTTCACATGCCACACCTCCCTGTGCACAGTGCCCACATGCAGACGCCCTCTGTCCACACTGTGTATGTGAACAGCTTGGACCCTGCAAACACAGCCATCTGAACACACTTCCATCCCCAAGTACAGATACATGGTCCATGCCATGTCACCTCCATGGGGAAATGCTTCTTCCAGGTGTGTCAGGCCAGGACAGCCCTTCTAGCCATGAATCTTTACTCAGCTACCTCGGATTGGGGTGGGAGCCTCGACCAAATCTTGGGCTTCTGGCCTGTGGCTCAGCCCCAGCTCCCAAGGTCTGCCTGGCTCTGTTTGAACACAAGGTCTGGCAAAAGCAAGGGGTGAGGTACAGTAAAAGGAATGAGGATAAACCTCTGCCTTCTGTGCTGTCTTTCTGGACTTCTTTGAAACTCAGTGTGCCCATCTGTCAAACGCAGAGCTAAACTGAGCAACTGCTGAGGTCCCTTTGGATCTGCCAGTGCATAGTGGTATGACCACTCATATGCCCTGAGCCCAGGAGGATCAGTGCTGGAGGTAGCTCACCTCTGTCCATGGGCTTCTGTCCTGGTACAGCCCCAAACATTGGCACTCTTCCCAGTCTTCCACAGGCCCCTCCCATGGCTGTGAGAGGCCTGAGACTAGAGAACCTCACTCATGAAAGGCCACTTATGAAAATAGGGCTGAGGAGGGGACTGGCTGTCCCACAAGGTGGGTCTGAATTAGTCCCAAAGAGGAGAGGAGACTCTTGACTGAAGACAGCGTGGAAGGACTCTCCAGGAGCCCTGCAGTGGCCATGACCTCCAGGTCTGGACTTATAGCCAGGTAGGGTCTCTGGGCGCCCTCCATCACCACGCTCTGTCTCAACCAGTGCTATGCGATGGAACCACCTGCATGATGGGAAGTGTTCTCTACCTGTGCTGCCTGCCATGGTAGGCAATAGCCACATGTGGCCCTGCACACTTGAAATGTGGCCAGTGCAACCAAGAACTGAAGTTCTTACTCTACTTATTTTGAATTAAGTTAAATAGCCACATGTGGCTGGTGGGACAGCACAGATCAGCCCCAGCCCTCTCCTGCAGGCCCGGGGACTTCTGCCCTCTCCCCCAGCCAAGAACCTACACCCTACCCCCTCCCTTCCTTCTCCAGACCCACCTGCTTTTGCACCTCCTGCCCTCTTCTCTCTTGCATGAGCAAAGAAGGACTCCACCTCTGTATTCAATCCTTCTACCCAGCCCAGAAGCCGCCTCTTCTCTCTGCCACCCCTGCATTGTTCTCCTTTTCTGCCTCCTCCTGGCTCAGGTTCCCCTGCAGCTCTGCCCACTCTTCCCTCATTGCTACCCTTCCAGAAAGACCAGGCCACACTTCCCTCTGCAATTGGCCTCCGTCCCATCACTTTTAGATACCCTTGCCAAGGTCACCAGCAGTGTCCTTGTTGCTAAATCCAAGTGGACACTTCAGCCCGTATCCTGCTTAGCCTGTCAGCATCTGACACAAACCCTTCTCTTTGAAAAATTTCCTTCCATCATCTCCTAGGACCCACCCTCTCCTGATTTTCCAGTCAGCTAGGTGTGAAAAGAAATGCTTCAAGTGCAGCTCTGCCACAGCTCTCTATGTGTTCTTGGGCAAGTCGCTTAACTCTCCTCTGTGAGTCAGGGATAATAATAGCCTCTCTAGGGTTGTGATAAGATAAAATATATAAAGTGCCTAGTACAGAGCCTGGCACACAGAAGTGCCCTGCCCCTCAATTTATCCACCTTTTCAGTGTGGGCTCAGCTAGGTGTCCCGGGTATCTGTTCTCTCTATGGCAACGCAACCCTTGGTTCTTATCTGGGGCATATGGTTGCCTAGAATGGAAGATGCCCTTCTCAGCCTTTTCTTGCTGCTGGGTCTGGCCATGGACTAAGCTCAAGCTAATGAAGGTCATGTGACACTTTCTGGGAACTTTCCCTAAAAGAGTGTTGGTGCAGCTCCTTTACCTTCTTCTTCATCCTTTTCTCCATTCCACTGCCTGGAATGCATATGTGATGGCTGGAGTTCTAGCCACTATCCTGAACTATGAGTACAAGAGTCACACCCAGAGGTTGCTGGAGTACTGGGTGGAAGGAGCCACTCCTAGGAGGTCTTTGTGGAGCAGAGTTGCCATACCAGCCCTGGACTGTCTTTCCTGAAGCTTTTATGTGGGATTTCTGTTACCTGGGTCAGAATTCTGACCCTACCTGGTACAGAATTCTTTCCCCCTTAAAAGCAAGCATTCTACCCTTGGCCCAAGTTTTATTTGCTCTGAGTGATCTCATTCTTTCCTGTGGCCCTATTAATTATGGGTCTTCTGGTGACTCTCAAAACTGTCTCTCTGGCCCAGCCACCCTCTTTCCTGAATTCCAGCCTCACATATCCAACCCCCCAATTGCCATATCCAATTATTCATTCAGCAAACATCTACTGATGTGTCAAGCTGTGTACTGGATGAATCAGGCATAGCCCCTGCCCTCAAGGAGCTCCCAGCTCATATGTGGAACAGGCAGGTAAACAGATACTGGGTACAAGGAAGTTCCTAGGAGGAGCTGCTAACCCATGCTGGGCAGTGAAGAGATCATAGGGAAGGTTTCTGGGCAGAAGGATCATTGAACGGAGCCCTGAAAGACAATTAGAGGTTAAGCAGGAAGGTGGTTAGGCGTAAGCTTCTGGAGGGCTTGATTGGACCTATGTATTCTCAGGGTAGTGGTGAGCCTTGGAAGATTCCTAAGCAAGAACTGACTACTTGGACTTGTGTTTCTGAAAGATTGCTCTGGCTGCCAAGTAGAGAAAGGCAAGTGGGAGGTGAGATGGGAAGGGGGTGGGAGGCCAGTGAGGAGGCCGTTGCAGCCATCAAGTAGAAGATGGTGGTGGCCTGAGCTAAGAGAAGGGCAGAGGGGGAGAGAGAAATGGACAGATTCTGGGAATATTTAAGTGGCAGCACAGCAGGGCCTGGTGATTGACTGGTTGGGGCAAGAAGCTGGTGACTGCAGGTGACTCCCAGGTTTCTGGCTCCAGTTTGAGACAGAGACACGGAGGCCAGGTCTAGGGGAGTGATATGGGGCTCTGTCTGGGTAATTGGTAACATGAGGTGCCAGAAGAGTCACAAGTGGAGAACTTAGCATAACTGACTCAAGAGTTGGTGAGGTCGCCAGGGGAGAAGTGGGAGGCAGAGCCCCCAGGAACAGCCACCGTGAAGGTCCCCCAGTCCTGTTGAGTACCCTCCATCCCCCCTGCCCCAGCTAGGCCATTCGTGCCGCCTACTCACAGGGCCCTTTTCCAAACATGAATCCGACTCGACCCCAGCACTCTATGCTGGGCATCCCTATCGCACCCCACTCCCCGCCCCGCAGCAGAAGGTTAAACTCCTGGGCTGTGCCATTCAAGCCCTTCTCCCTCGCCTCGGCCTCGGCCTCGTCCCTGGTCGCCGATCTCCCCTTGCTCCTTTCTAGCAAGCTCCCGAGGAGGGGGCGCTCCTGCCTCTGAAGGCCGGGATGGGGGGACAAAGGGTTTTGGGAGGAAGCACCCGTCCCCCTCAGGCACAGCTAAGGGGCCCACGCCACGGCTTGGAGGGGTTTCGGGGGACCCCAGGCAGCCTGTATCGGGGCGCCAGGGGCGTGACGAAGACAGCCGGGCCGCAGGGGGAGGGACCCCTCCCCAGCCACCACCCGCCGCGGTCCCTCCCTTCCAGCAGGCGGGGCGGAAGTCCCGGGCTCTGATTGGGCGGCGCTGGAGGAGCCGAGCCACCTGACCAATGAGCGCGGGCCGGGCGCGGCGGCGGGCGGGGGAGCGAGCGCTGCCTGGAGCCTCCGCGCCGGCGGTCTGAGCTCGTAATAACTTCGT